CTCCCCCAGTCTCTCTGATACATCAAGGATCACATTATCTACTCCCCCAGTCTCTCTGACACAGGAAGGATCACATTATCTACTCCCCCAGTCTCTCTGACACAGGAAGGATCACATTATCTACTCCCCCAGTCTCTCTGACACAGGAAGGATCACATTATCTACTCCCCCAGTCTCTCTGACACAGGAAGGATCACATTATCTACTCCCCCAGTCTCTCTGACACAGGAAGGATCACATTATCTACTCCCCTCTCTGACAGTGTCTCTCTGACACAGGAAGGATCACATTATCTACTCCCCCAGTCTCTCTGACACAGGAAGGATCACATTATCTACTCCCCCAGTCTCTTTGACACAGGAAGGATCACATTATCTACTCCCCCAGTCTCTCTGACACAGGAAGGATCACATTATCTACTCCCCCAGTCTCTCTGACACAGGAAGGATCACATTATCTACTCCCCCAGTCTCTCTGACACAGGAAGGATCACATTATCTACTCCCCCAGTCTCTCTGACACAGGAAGGATCACATTATCTACTCCCCCAGTCTCTCTGACACAGGAAGGATCACATTATCTACTCCCCCAGTCTCTCTGACACAGGAAGGATCACATTATCTACTCCCCCAGTCTCTCTGACACAGGAAGGATCACATTATCTACAGGAAGGATCACATTATCTACTCCCCAGTCTCTCTGACACAGGAAGGATCACATTATCTACTCCCCCAGTCTCTGACACAGGAAGGATCACATTATCTACTCCCCCAGTCTCTCTGACACAGGAAGGATCACATTATCTACTCCCCCAGTCTCTGACACAGGAAGGATCAGTCTCTCTGACACAGGAAGGATCACATTATCTACTCCCACAGTCTCTCTGACACAGGAAGGATCACATTATCTACTCCCCCAGTCTCTCTGACAAAGGAAGGATCACATTATCTACTCCCCCAGTCTCTCTGACACAGGAAGGATCACATTATCTACTCCCCAAGTCTCTCTGACACAGGAAGGATCACATTTTCTACATCCCCAGTCTCTCTGACACAGGAAGGATCACATTATCTACTCCCCAAGTCTCTCTGACACAGGAAGGATCACATTATCTACTCCCCCAGTCTCTCTGACACAGGAAGGATCACATTATCTACTCCCCCAGTCTCTGACACAGGAAGGATCACATTATCTACTCCCAAAGTCTCTCTGACACAGGAAGGATCACATTATCTACTCCCCCAGTCTCTGACACAGGAAGGATCACATTATCTACTCCCCCAGTCTCTGACACAGGAAGGATCACATTATCTACTCCCCAAGTCTCTGACACAGGAAGGATCACATTATCTACTCCCCCAGTCTCTCTGACACAGGAATGAAGCCCTAAGCTACTCGCCCACATTTGCCACACTCCCAAAATCACACAGAAGATAATATAAATGTTTTAATTCTCTTTTTTTTTTTTTTTAGATAAAATACAACTCAAGATATTGAACTCTGACCTATCAGCTTGTCAGAAAAATCTGTACTGACTATGTACCAATTTGCACCATATGCCAGCCATGAAACTGATTTGGCTGTTGGTTCATTACCTACAGATATGGTTTAAATGTCTAACATTTTATTCCTTTTATGCCAAATGCGTTCCAAATGGAACCCAATGGGTTTTGTTAAGCTTATTAAAACTTATATAAATCACTCTCATTGACCTGTATAGAAGTATGCAAGGTGTTTTACTGTGGGAGGGAATTGGAGTACCAGGAGAAAAGTAATGGGGTCAGGCAAGTGACCCCACACCTTTTCATGTCCGTTCAGATATCAAACCCTGAACGCTTTGATGAAAGGTGCCAACCAACCACTAAACAAGAAGTCCAAAGGCTTTGATGGTCACCTGAGTTGAATTTTTGTTTTTATCAATGACAAGCACTTAACAAACTGCTTTATCTAATATCTAGTGTGGATTTAAAGGACATTGAAAAAATTGGCACAAATTTCACTGTTAGGGCCCTGCATTATAGTTTTCAAAAAATTTAATTTTTTCGTGACGACAAAATTCCAATGTGTTTTATTCCAACCCAAAATTTAAAATGAATACAAATACTCAAAAATTTGACCCTGTGACCTTGAAAGTGGGTCAAGTACATTCCTTTGATTAAGCTTGATAGCCTTAAAGCTTCATCCAAGCATGCTACAGGCCCAATATCAGATCTCTGGGGCTTTTGGTTGAGAAGTTGTTGGAAGATTTGAACACAATTGGCCCTTGTAAGCTTGAAAGGCAGTCAAAGTCAATAATTTAAATAAATTTATAAGCCATCATACCAGTATGCCACAATCCAAATATCAGAGCTCTGAGCCTTCCTGCTATTGAAATAAAGTCAAAAATGTAAAGTGTTTAAGATGCACAGCAGAAGACAAACGACACATGATGCATGACGATGGACAAACAGCGATTGCAATAGGTCACTTAAGACTTTGTTACATAAAAACCCGTAAGAAATCAGACAATAGTCGAAACTGAAGTTAATATTTCTCACTATTATCTAATAAATTCTAAACACAACACAGTAGAACAGCTGTAAAGTTTCCCCATACACTGGTAAATAGCAGCATTATGGACATGAAATCTGAAGTCAACCTGGCCTCACACACCAGAGAGTGGTACTACTAAAGGTTTAGACTGTTGACTGCAGGCTTGAAACTCTGTATTATGATACATGTAGTACATGATAAACATGTTTCTTTACTGTATTTCCATAAAAGTAATTACCGGTATTATTTTCCAACAAAATCTCATCCAAGCCGAGACAAAGAGTGAGATGTTACAGAATGTCAACTCGAGATTAAACTGTACTAAAAGGCACTATTCACTTGTGTCTTATGTATAATCTTCCAGATTGCAGCTGATAGACACTGCTAGTGGATTTTAGTGGCAAAACCTACATGCCACATTTAAATTCATTCAAATATTGGCATGGTTCAGAATATACTGTACACATGAATTTAATGTTCTTCTTAAATAATAAGATATATGAAAATTACAAAATACGCTGAATTATGGGGCTGGCCCCTGCCCATCTAGATTTTCACATTTCTTTGGATCCTTTTGACTTTCCTGAGTAGCCTCCTAAGTATTAAAATCTTGCGTCTTAAATAACATTACTTACAAGTGCTAGAGGGACAAAGTAAATATATACGAAGTAGTTTAACTCATTATTTGGCTAGCTAGTTCTAAATTTACATAGAAATGTTCTTTTAAATTATGTGTTTTCTGTACAATCTCGAACACCTTACAAGTAATATATTATAATTCTTGTACGTAATTTTGTCAAAACTGCATAAAATTTTCTGAACTAATTTCACTTTTAATTTCTTAGTTTGATTTGGAATTTTTCCCTTTATGGTTATATGTCAGAGAGACAATGGGATATGATGTCATTCTAATTGTGTTGTCACTTGGTGTCGAATACCACATAAAGATACCAGACAAATTGGCTGGTAAAGAAAAATCTAGCAGTGGGTAGCCTAGGAGATTTCTCTGTCTTATGGAACACAAAAAGCCACAGCTAACCAAAGATTATCATTAAAAGAATAGAAACAGTTTTAAAATTCATGATGAGATGGATAACACATGGGATTTCTGTTAGTTTCCAGTTCTGTTCGACAAGGTAATATTTTTCATCTCAACCTTTGGAAACCTATCTGATCTAATGTAGACACATACTTTACCTAACATTCAGTCACTATTGTATCAGTATATAGTAAGTTATATACTCTGTAATACTACTGATGTACAGGTACCATGAGTTACATAATCTTTGTCAGCTATACGTTTATATCTTATGGATCAGTTGTCATGTCTTACAGTATAGCCTTATCAAAAATAAAAGACCAAACATGCTTGCACACAAAGATCTCACATATCATTCATTTTTGTGACAAACACGTTCATGTCAATAACAAACTTCTTCTAAATGATGATTCATAACAAACAAATATTAGATAAAATACTGAAATAAAACAGTAACTGATAAAGTGGACATTTTCAAAACTGAGGACAGGAAAACAACACTTAATATACTTAATAGAGTCAATATTTCTACAGATATTATGTATCATATACATGTATATATGTATAATTAAACTAGGGTATGAGAAAACATGAGTGACTGTATCTATGAGGAACGACATTACCACAGCACTTCTAACTCCAGCTCAACCAATCAAAATCTTCAGAGGGTCATAGCTACACCAATCAAAATCTTCAGAGGGTCATAGCTACACCAATCAAAATCTTCAGAGGGTCATAGCTACACCAATCAAAATCTTCAGAGGGTCATAGCTACACCCAATCAAAATCTTCAGAGGGTCATAGCTACACCAATCAAAATCTTCAGAGGGTCATAGCACCAATCAAAATCTTCAGAGGGTCATAGCTACACCAATCAAAATCTTCAGAGGGTCATAGCTACACCAATCAAAATCTTCAGAGGGTCATAGCTACACCCAATCAAAATCTTCAGAGGGTCATAGCTACACCAATCAAAATCTTCAGAGGGTCATAGCTACACCAATCAAAATCTTCAGAGGGTCATAGCTACACCAATCAAAATCTTCAGAGGATGATAGCTAAATTCTTCAGGAATATTTGGTGATATAGTGAACAAAGTCAAATTTTGATTGGTTGTACAGTCAGAGGTCAGAAGTATCTGTATGGAAAAATAGAGGAAAGATTTAGATGTTCACATCACATTACACCATGAATTTCCAATACCAACTTAACACTTCAAAACGACTTAAAGGAGCATCAGAGTTGAAGATAAATTTTTGTGGCAGTGTAGGAGAGTAGCTTGTCTTGGCCCATCTATATACTGGAGTAAGTCAGTTATTACATGATGCACAACATTCGCCCAGACAGAGAGACAAATAATGCATTATATAGATCACAATATCCATGGTTACACATCACAGGATGTGATCGTCTGTAGTTGTAGCCTTACCGACAAAAATTTATCCATCATCTGATTAAGTGGTAAGCACGAGAAAATAAAAAGAAAAAGAAAAACAAGTGAGCTACGGGCTTCATAACACACATCAATAACAAATATACAATAAGCATGTATTTCTGGAAACTTGACATCTGTAAATTTCAATTTCACATCAAATAACATTGTTCAGTTGTATTTATCGATGAATGGACTTCCTCCTTCTTTGTAATCGTTTGTTTTTATCTCTAATTTTGATACTCTAAGCTGGCTATCAGGAAGTATTCACTAATACTGTAATTAACGTAATAGGTCACCAACTAAAATAAAAACAAGTCAAAATAAAAAAAAATTAAACATTATTTTTACGGAAACAATTAATAAAGAAAGTCTTGTAGTTCTATAGTTTCTTGAACGCCAAGGTGCTGTTTTTTATCAAAGTAAGACACTTTTGCCCAATAGACAATGAGACGATAGGTAGACCCAAGTTTCCTGTTGTATTGACCAAATTCTGAGATCATGACTGATATTATCTGACTGACTTATTGTTTCTTATTAACAAAAACATTTTTTTTCAAAACAAAAATTGTCATTCAATTAAGAAACTTTAAATATCTTTACTAGCAGGTATGAAATTATATCACTTCATCACCATGACCTCAGACACATCAAGTTGTGACCTATTTAGAAGGAAAGAGTTAGCAGATTATGACCTATGACCTCTACATCCCAAATGCCCTCAATATATCTACTTAAAGCATATATCTGTCTGTTCCAGCCATAACTACTGCAGAAAAAAGGCATATACATATTACATTCAACAGACTCTAAACGTCTAGCAGTTTGCTCACTATTAACAGAAAATACTATTAGTTAATATATATATATATATATTTGTGCAAACAAAACTGTTAAAAGTTAATCACCAACATTATTGGAAACCATTCAAATGTATTAGGTAATATAAACTGGTGCAAGAAAATTATTGATGAAACTTTATGTAAAAAATTGTTATGAGACCATGAATTCTTTAAGACTAGTTAATATAATCAACAGCAACCAAAGTAACAGGTATGGACAAGAAAGGACCAACTACTAACGAAATAAAATCACAATTCATCAAAACAGCAAGGAAAGTTTGAAAAAAAAAATATAAAATAAAAATCAAATTGGTTTTGACTTACCTTTGATTTGCACATGAGCATGACTTTATCAAACAGGAAAATATATCTGTAAAAAAAAAATAAAAAAAAAAAAATTCAAAATAACGTTTAAATTTACACACAATCAGTTAGTGAGATTATGCCAACACAGAAGACAGAAATTCCCAGAAAGTAGTTTCACAAAGAAGCACTGAATTATGTTTGATTAGACTGTGGAAGTCACAATACCGTGTGAACTCCCTTATCTGTAGTTAAAGTACCCTTGAAATTTGATCTCAACTCTGAAAAGTAACTCTAAGCCAAACTCTCAGTAAGGCAGCACAATACTAAGCATCAATTTTATCAACTGCCAGGGATTCAAGACATCCTGTTTCTTTGTGTGAAGATCTTCCAAATACACAGTTAAAATGGTATTTTTTGGGTATGCTATTGACTTATATATTGAAATACCCTTTAATATTCTAATCCTGTCTCTTCATATTTATACACACAAACACCCAATTATTCAATACCCTAATTCCTTCTCAACATCTTTATACAAACAATTAGCACCCACCTGGTCTTCATTTTGTTGTCCTGGTGGTTCCTCACCTTCAGTTCACCATCTTTCTGAAGTCTGCCATAGTCCTTCAATGAAGTGTTGGGCGGCTGTAATAAATAACACAGCCTTATATAGTCTCCCCAATGATACAGGACAACACTATGACATAGGTCCATAGTTAAGTTTGTTTATTCTCAATAAAAAGATATCTCTTTAATATATCCTGAAGATTTTAACAACTATAAAAATTTAAAGTTAATCCTTGATAAGGTACTCACCATTTGTAAATCACCAATACTGGAAGATAAAAAAATCAAAATTATAAATGTATGTAGGCTTAGCAAATAGTTTTTGTTCTTCTTTGTTCTACAAGAGATACTGAATGGTTTTGATCAGAAGTCTAGTACTGTTATGTGTCAGATATACCTGTCCTGTTTTAAAACTAGTTTTATCATCCGAGGATTAGTTCCCTCTCCTCAACAAATACAAAGACTTTGTTACCATTTTTTTTCTGCCGGAAAAAAAAGGCTGTATGCACATAGACATATAGTCCATAACATTCCTGTAGTTTTTTCTGCATCTAATATCTACCTGCTCTGTTCTATATCAGATCTCTTACAGTTCTGTATCATATATCCATCTGTTCTGTGTCGGATATCCACCTGTGCGGTGTCAGATATCTACCTGTGCGGTGTGGGATATCCACCTGTGCGGTGTCTGTTCTGTTCTATATCAGAACATATATATATCCATCTGTTCTGTGTCGGATATCCACCTGTGCGGTGTCGGATATCCACCTGTGCGGTGTCAGATATCTACCTGTTCTGTTCTATATCAGAACTCTTACAGTTTTGTATCGTATATCCATCTGTTCTGTGTCTGATATCCACCTGTGCGGTGTCAGATATCTACCTGTGCGGTGTAGGATATCCACCTGTGCGGTGTGGGATATCTACCTGTGCTGTGTGGGATATCCACCTGTGTGGTGTCGGATATCCACCTGTGCGGTGTAGGATATCTACCTGATCTGTTCTATATCAGAACTCTTACAGTTCTGTATCATATATCCGCTTGTTCTGTATCATATATCCACCTGTTCTCTGTCAGATATCTACCTGTTTAGTCTCCTATACTTACCTGTTCTGTATCTCCGATATCAAGAGAAGAGTTTCGTTGTCCCTTTTCACTTCATTCACATACAGTGACAAATCCTGTAATACAAAAATACACCATTAAACAAGATCTGCAGTTAAAGTTTTTATAAACACATTTTTTTTAAAATGAATTTTTTGAAATATTTTGATTCATTAATGAACACATCGTACGTGATGTTTTACCTTGTGTACATGTTTTTATACATCCCCAAGCCTTGAAAACTTCCACAGAATTGACATATGAATACCTTATTTTATTACACTCACAATAATTACACTCAATATATAACTGATCCAATGTCTGCCAGACACCCAGACATAATTACAACAATTGTCCTGCTGTCTGCCAGTCAACTAGACATACAACTATTGACATGATATCTGCCATTCACCCAGACATACAGCCACATAAGGACATGATATCTGCCACTCACCCAGATATATAGCCACATGGGGACATCATGTCTGCCACTCACCCAGATATATAGCCACATGGGGACATCATGTCTGCCACTCACCCAGACATATAACCACATAGGGACATCATGTCTGCCACTCACCCAGACATATAACCACATAGGGACATCATGTCTGCCACTCACCCAGACTTATAACCACATGGGGACATCATGTCTGCCATTCACCCAGACATATAACCACATGGGGACATGATGTCTGCCATTCACCCAGACTTATAACCACATGGGGACATGATGTCTGCCATTCACCCAGACATGTGACTATTGACCTAATGGCTGCCAGCCACCAGAAAACCACTGACATGATGTCTGTTAGCCACCCAGATATAACAATTGTTCCAATCTCTCCCAGGCACCCAGACATATAACTAATGACTTGATGTCAGTCAATCACTGAGATATTTTTCTTCTGACCCGATGTCTGCTACTCATACAGATATATTACTTTTGACTCAATGTCTGCCACCCACCAGACATAACTATTGACGGGATGTTTGCTAGGCACTCACATATATAACTTTTTCGAATGTCTGCCACACATCCAGATATACAACTTTATACCTGATAAAGACATGTGGATAAAACTTATTTATCTAACAAACATCCTCACAGAATGAAAACTGGATTTTAAGATACAAAATAGAAGAAATAAAAGAACAAACCATCATAGCCTCGAGGCCAGCCTCAAGTGTACGACTGTCTTCTGAATTCTTGCTTGTCTGTCGCATCAGCTCCTACAATAATACAGATTCAAATTTCTTTAATCAGAGACCTAAAAAGGATTTTACATTTCACTTATAAATAACTACAATGGATTCACATTTCACCCATCAGTTATCAGAAAATTTTCTTTCCTAGAAAAGTATTTTGTAAGAAATAAATTTACTCCATGACATCAGACAATAGCATTAAGTAAGATTTCTGTCTATGTTTTCATCCACACTTCTTTTTAACAGATTTTTTTAACTACGTGAGCTGACTTGAAACAGAAGAACTGACTTACCCTGACAAGGAGATGATACTTCAAGACCCGCTGCATAGGAACATGTAATAAATCACGTAGCTTAAATTTGCCCTCATTTGCACGTTTTTCACAGCTCTGAAAAATAAACAATGCGGCAATATAAACAACCAGAATAGCAAGCATCGGACAAACAGAAATTTGGATAATGCTTCAAAGATGGTAGTATAGGGGGACTCTTAATGTGACAGGGGTCATACTTCAGTTAAAGGTCACTCTGTGAACCAAATAAAACTTATCAGTGAAAAGGTCTGCTTAAATTTATTATCCTATGTTCATCAGAAGTAACAGTAACAAATTTCTGAGGACAGTGGTAGTAGCGGTCACACTGAATGTCAATCCACTATTGAATGGTGGAGGTCACATTGAATGTCAATCCACTATTGAATGGTGGAGGTCACATTGACTGTCAATCCACTACTGAATGGTGGAGGTCACATTGAATGTCAATCCACTATTGAATGGTGGAGGTCACATTGAATGTCAATCCACTACTGCATGGAGAAGGTCACATTGAATGTCAATCCACTATCAAATGGTGGAGGTCACATTTAATGTCAATCCACTATTGAATGGTGGAGGTCACATTGAATGTCAATCCACTACTGAATGTGTCTTTGTTATTAATGAAATTTCCACTCTTTAAGACTTACCTCTATTTGTGCTTTAATAGCTGTTTCACTTCGCTTGAGAATTTCATCTATTTTTTCCTGAGCCTTAGGAAGGTTCGAGCAGTAGTCACCATAAATTAGAAGTTTTGACTTCCATTTGATGAAAACCTCAGCAATTTGAGCTGGAGAGCCAGCAGTGGTAGAGAATGCTTGACGACAGGATAACTGTAGCTCAACCAGCAAGCCTTTATGAATCTCTAACAATTTCTACAAAAGGAAAAAACATGCAATAAATAAATATATCAATTTATAAAAATGACCTAATACTCAAATTATTCATAGAGATATTAGAATTTGTAAAACCTGGTGAAACAAGAGGCAAACAGGGCCTGTATTGTTTATCTGGTTTGGTTTAGCTGAAATTTCTCAATCTAAAGTGAAGGAAGGTGTACCTTAAAACGGATATCTATTTCCCCTCAGATGAGATCCATCTATCTCACTTCTATCAATCTTACACTGCGAGAACCAAACAGTAAATCTCTAGCTGCTGAATAAATATTAGTAACAATCTGTCTCATCTTACACTACTGGACAAATCAGTTACATTCTGTCTCATCTCATGGGGGACTGTGAAAATCTCACCTCTATGTGTGCAAATATTACGTCTCGATCAGCAGCAGGTATCACATCCCTTAGAGGCTTTATAAAGTGCTGTAATGAAATGGACCAATAGTTTATCTCATGTCATAGTAGTATAAATATAGAAGCAGCTACAAAGCACTGGATCAAGTCTCACTATTTGGCCAGAAAAGCCCATACATTGATATGATAAATATTCATATTTCATATCTGGGGATTGTCTCTCCATAACTTTCAGATCCAAGGGAATGCAATGCTAGCTCACAGCTGGAGTATACATTATAACGTACTTACCTGCACTAACATGGTCAGGGCCTCTGCGTAGTTTTTCTCTGTGTCATGGATTTCCTTCACACAGTAGTCAAGCTTTGTAACAGGGGAAGGTAACTCTGAGGGCTGAAAATATTTTTATGGTTAATATATTATCATCATTTTTATCTATGAAAATAAGAACTCACTTGATTTACCTCTGTTAATTACTCACAAATAAACATCTGCTGAAAATTTTGAACAATTATATTTATTGATATATTTAATATATATTTCATATTTTTTCAATTAAAACACTTGAAATTGTGCAGATGAAATAAGTTAAGAATCCTCTAAATAATTACCAATTCAAACAAAATAACATCAGTTATATCATTGACAAATAATAAAATTGTCAAAATATCAAAATGTGAAGAAACATGACTATCAGCTATTTAACTAATCTTAACCTTGCCTTAGATTGAAAACCACTTTTCTGAGTACGAGGCAGTAGAGCTCTATTCATCTCTGACCAACACACAGTGTAACAAATTAAGGCTAACTTTAATAACATTTACAACATCATTTAAATAACATTTACAACATCATTTTAATAACATTTACAACATCAAGATGCAAAATTATATCATTCACTTCAATCCATGCGTTCACAACACATAAATATTCTTTGTTATTATCAACTTTATTCAAATAACCATCAACTACATCAGCCTCAAGTTTCCATTTTATGTGTTCTCATTTAGATATAGTAAATAATGATGACTGTCAAACGACCCAGTGTTAGTTAGGTTACGACAACACAGTCTAAACAACCTCTACTCGCTTGATGTCTGGGTTAAATAGATCCTATGTCAAGACTTGTTAGTAAACACACCTGACGGTTACAATTAGTTCAATTAAAAGATGGGTTGCATTAATCCATAGTGTACTTTAAACAATAATGCTGTGTTACACGATCAGCAATTAATAGCTTTGTATTTTACCTTTGTTATTGCACTCAACAATTCAGGATATGTTGGGTTCCGTTAAAATGTGTGAAGAGTCTGTGAATCATTAGGGATACTGAAGACTTCTGAGTGTTATAAAGTTTAGAGGGGTACACACTGTGAGGATGTTAAATTGATACATCATTTGCATCATCATTTTTGTTAAACACTCGAACTTACAGTTACAGGATGCGAGCCTCTTTTGTGTCTCCGAGCACACAAGTCCTCATAAATTTCTTCATCGTCATCTTGATAAACTTTGTCATAAATTTCTTCATTATCGTCTAGATCATTTTCACTGTAGCACAGGGTATGTAAAACAAAAAGCAAACACCATGGTGCAGACAGAGGGTAAGAACCGCCAGTGACTAAACTACACACACTAATGGGACACAATATATATATATATAAACAGATTCAACATGCATCTGTTGACGAAGCAAGTTCCATTTCCACCATACTGAACATAGAAACACCAAGCTGAAAGTAAATTTTTCCACTAAAATTAACGCAGAGAAACAACAAGCTGAAAGTAAGTTTTTCCACCATACTGAACATAGAGACATCAAGCTGAAAGGAAGTCAGATGCTTATTTTATCAAAATCAAGAGTTTCTTTTTTATATGCATTGTATGTGTAATAGGTCTGCTCAGAAAACATCAACTAAACGTAAATAACTTTCGTGTTCAAACCAAAATAATTTTGTTTCTTTTACAAGCCATATCATAATTAGCACTATAAGCCTCAAATAAATTTTAAAACCCTGACATAAGATTTATGTAAATATGTAAAGAAAGAAACATGACTACTTGTAGGACGAGGATGCAGGTGGAAGTTGGAGGGTGGAAAGGTTATTTTTGGGTTCACAGAGGTGGGGAAGAGTGTGGGAAATGTGGAGGTTGGAAAGGTTGGGACCACAGGAGAGGCAAGGGATGGGTGAGGTGGAGTTTGCATGGGTTGAGACCAGAGAGTGGGGCATGGACACTTGAGAGGCGGAGGAAGGGAGGGCAGAGATCAGAGGGTGGGGCATGGACACTTGAGAGGTGGATGAAGGGAGGGCAGAGATGAGATGGTGGGGCATGGACACTTGAGAGGTGGATGAAGGGAGGGCAGAGATCAGAGGGTGGGGCACGGACACTTGAGAGGTGGATGAAGGGAGGGCAGAGATGAGAGAGGGGGCATGAGCATGAGAGAAGTGAAGGTTGAATAAAATGTATCAATACTAATATTTTTCAAAACTAAGAAAGTATTTTGCTGATGGTATGTATGATAGTTTAATATGTTTAATTGCAATCAAACATCTCTCATAATGGGCTTTATAAAGTTTTTTGTGACAGGTGGAAAAAAGGATTTTCTAGATCAAATGAGACTGAAACAATATTTCACATCTGTATAATTTTACCTTGCCTAAGATTTCTGTTGTCTGTGTACTAAAATCTGTTGCTTTTGTTATTATTGGGGACCATACAAAGACTCACTGATTCAATATACAACATTTCAGTATATTGTGTGATGTGAAGCTTCATCAAAATAATGCAACACTCATGCTTAAACACAATGATACAAAACTAAATCAATCCAGACAAATGTCTTGAATATGGAAGCAACATAACTTCAAAATTGTGTTCTTAGCCGTCAACATTCCATGGGCTTTATGTTCTTAACTGTCAACATTTCATGGGTTTTATGTTCTAAACCGTCAACATTCCATGGGTTTTATGTTCTAAACCATCAACATTCAATGAGTTTTATGTGCTTAGCCTTCAACATTTCATGGGATTTATGTTCTTAACAGTCAATATTTCATGGATTTTATGTTCTTAACTGTCAACATTCAATGAGTTTTATGTTCTTAGCCGTCAACATTCCATGGGTTTTATCTTCTTAACTGTCAACATTTCATGGGTTTTATGTGCTTAGCCTTCAACATTTCTTGGGTTTTGTGTTCTTAGCCTTCAACATTCCATGGGATTTATGTGCTTAGCCTTCAACATTTCATGGGTTTTATGTTCTTAGCCTTCAACATTTCATGGGTTTTGTGTTCTTAGCCTTCAACATTCCATGGGTTTTATGTTCTAAACCGTCAACATTTCATGGGCTTTATGTTCTAAACCGTCAACATTTCATGGGTTTTATGTTCTTAACCGTCAACATTCCATGGGTTTTATCTTCTTAACTGTCAACATTTCATGGGCTTTATGTTCTAAACTGTCAACATTTCATGGGTTTTATGTGCTTAGCCTTCAACATTTCATGGGTTTTGTGTTCTTAGCCTTCAAAATTCCATGGGTTTATGTTCTAAACCATCAACATTTCATGGATTTTATGTTCTTAACTGTCACCATTTCATGGGTTTTATGTTCTTAAGCGTCAACATTTCATGGGTTTTATGTTCTTAACTGTCAACATTCCATGGGTTATATGTTCCTAACAGTCAACATTTCATGGGTTTTATGTTCTTAACTGTCAACATTCCATGGGTTATATGTTCCTAACAGTCAACATTTCATGGATTTTATGTTCTTAACTGTCAACATTCCATGGATTTTATGTTCCTAACTGTCAACATTTCATGGATTTTATGTTCTTAACTGTCAACATTTCATGGATTTTATGTTCTTAACTGTCAACATTCCATGGGTTTTATGTTCTTAAGCATCAACATTCCATAGGTTATATGTTCCTAACAGTCAACATTTCATGGATTTTATGTTCCTAACTGTCAACATTCCATGGGTTATATGTTCCTAACAGTCAACATTTCATGGATTTTATGTTCCTAACTGTCAACATTCCATAGGTTATATGTTCCTAACTGTCAACATTCCATAGGTTATATGTTCCTAACTGTCAACATTCCATGGGTTATATGTTCCTAACAGTCAACATTTCATGGATTTTATGTTCCTAACTGTCAACATTTCATGGGTTTTATGTTCTTAACTGTTTTATGTTCCTAACAGTCAACATTTCATGGGTTTTATGTTCTTAACTGTCAACATTCCATGGGTTATATGTTCTTAACTGTCAACATTCCATGAGTTTTATGATAAGTTTTTGCATATATAAAAAGAAAATGAATAATTACTGTTTTCCTTTAAAGGATAGACACTTAAGCACCCATTAAATCCATTTAGTTTATGAACCATTCAATGGCAGTTTCCATTTTCAAGAACATTTATCCTACATGCAAAAACACAAAACAAAAACTGTTAAAAAACAAAATTCTTAATAAAACAACAAGTGAACATCAAGCAAACGTCTGCAGAACATTCAATATTGACCAGGTAATGCAAGATGTCATCCTATCTAAATCTCCACTAGGTGGCACTGTGATGTCACAATACCATGACAATACCTGTGAAACGGAATTAAGATTAATGGAGCATAGATCATCATAGATCTTCTCGTCCTGTCCCGTATCAGTGTGCTCAAGGTCATGTGGCATGTCATGGTCACTGGAATCGAACGAGAAAGAAGCATGTATGTCACACACGGGGTCAGTGTGTTAGGCAAGTGTGAAAAAACCAAAACTACAGAAATGTATTACGTAGCATTGTCAACAACAGAAACAAACGTCATTTGGAATTAATCTCAGTTATAACAAATGGAACACTACACCACATGTAAATCATTAGTAATTATAACAAAACTTATCCACTTGTGCGATCATTCCCTAAAGCATGTTATACACAGAGGTAAGGATTTCTATATATAGTTATACTTTATTGCGTATGTAAGAGCATACTGTGCTTTCAGCTTACTTTTACTCATTATGATAACTTCATACCCTCATTGTAAATGTATGTACATTATCTATTTTTTCATTACCATCAATAACCCAGGACATTCAGAGTGTGAGATCTGGTTACATATTAAAAGTATATCATAAGTCATGGTATATTAGATATGTGCACAGTCCATCATTATTCATCCCTTGCTTCAGACAAATATACAGCTAACAAAATAAGTTTTACAGAAAAACAAAAAATTCCCTTATATATACTGTGTGCCAGGAGTTATTGTAGGTAAGGTGGTCTGAAATATAATTATTCTGTAATTATCAATAATCTGATACCTGGTGTATTGATATTGATATCAAACATCTATATGAACTGACAAAATTATTGGTACACTCTCGAAATGTTTTCCTCATCAGGATACAAAACATCAGCCTAGGTTTTATCAAACTACTCACAGTGCCATTCGAGGAAGGTTGCCGTAGATATCTTCATCATCATCATCTTCCACAGGAAGGGGAGGTGCTCTATGTGTTCGGTGATTTGGTGGGAAACCGCTAAAATGAATACAGAAATCTCATCATGCTCAATCAATGGAGCTACTAGCTGTGTATGAACGTTTACATGTTTACATATTTTGCATTTAACCTTTCGTTTCGAAAACAAAAATTAATCAATCAGAATGGAGGAAAGATAGTTTTGAAATTTTCTGGATTTGATGGCATCAATGTCAACTTTAGCAAGCTACATGATAAATGTCATGAATCCTGGCTTTATATTTCTATAAAAATACTGTTTGAATTTAACACATTTTAATCATGAAACTCTTTAGCTACTGCTTATTAACAGAAAGGTTGGTATACTTGTTCTGAAGAAGAAGTTGCAAAGGAAATTTGTAGGAAGTAAACAGATAAATAGAGAACCAATACATCTGCACTGAGCAGGATCAAATTATGGATATAAATAGCCTGAGGCATGTCTCACAAAAATATAATGTTAAACATTATAAGCTAAGAAAATAAACCTCAACTTCCTTAATTAATTTATTTATTCTTTATGATAAATGTTTGTATGTATGTATCTCTGACCACATTTTCTAACTTTGAAAAGCACTACCCATGCAAGCTTTAAAAATGAATTATTTCAAGAATTCTATAGAACTGAAAAAAGGGGAAAAAACAAAAATGAAAAAGCCTGATCTCTAGATATAACCAAAAGGAAAATAACTGGTATGCATTTCTTTCACTTGACTGGCATGATAACAATAGATCTGTGTGTAAGCCCTTCCAGATGTGAATATTGGAAGTATATGTACATGTCCAATTTGTAGAGTTATGGGTTTTGTTTATTACACAGCAGATCATTATAACCATAAACATGTCTTATACATTGCTTTCATTGCTTGATCATTAACATCCTGCTTCTTTCTAAATACTGATTTTGATACACATTACAAGTAAGTGAATTGTCTGCTTGTATATAGAAACAACACTTTGATCCTTTCCTGACACATCCAAGTACATCCTGTCATATTACTACTACAAACTCAGTCTAGCACTCTGTAATAAATTAAGTCCCTACATTTTGTTACTGAAGTATAGCTGTACTTTTATTACCACTGTCCTCAAAGTTCTTCCTCTTTGAAAGTGTATTGATTTATTTAGAAAAAAATCTTTATTATTGCATGGAAACATGTAGCTGAATATAAAAAAGACAGATAGTAAGCTAAGTCATGGGAAATTCAAGTTTTAACTTTTCAATTTTTCATGACAAAATGTTGTCCATTCAGATTTTTGCCTTTGGCTTTCATTTATAAATTAATACCTATTTCAAATTTCTGCTATCAATTCTCACCTTTACAAATAATTACAATTCCTATATATGTGCATTATTGCATGTACATATTCACAGTTACTGTCATGAAAAACTTCAGAGAAATCTCTACAGCAAATTTCCTTTATATATTTATGTAACAAGAGTAAAAGAATTATTTTTTTTCTTAATCAGCTCGTAATTATAGAAAATTCTCCATTGAATTTGATTCTGGTCATATTATTATCTACTGAAAAACACTTACATACATTTCGTATTGCTTGTGTTGATAAATTAAACAGCTACAATGGCAAGGTCAAATCATAATTTGTAACACTGTGTTCACAGTAGCACTGTGTTCAGAGTACCACTGTGTTCCTCCCCAACCATATTTGTACTGCTGTGTCCCTCACTCACTTTATTTGTGCTTCTGTCTCTCCCTCACCATATTTGGACTACTGTGTTACCCCTCACCATATTTGTACTGCTGTGTCCCTCACTTACTTTATTTGTGCTTCTGTCTCTCCCTCACCATATTTGTATTGCCGTGTCCCTCACTCACTTTATTTGTGCTTCTGTCTCTCCCTCACCATATTTGGACTACTGTGTTACCCCTCACCATATTTGTACTGCTGTGTCCCTCACTCACTTTATTTGTGCTTCTGTCTCTCCCTCACCATATTTGGACTACTGTGTTACCCCTCACCATATTCGTACTGCTGTGTCCCTCACTCACTTTATTTGTGCTTCTGTCTCTCCCTCACCATATTTGGACTACTGTGTTACCCCTCACCATATTTGGACTACTGTGTTACCCCTCACCATGTTTGTACTACTGTGTCCCCCCCCTCACCATATTTGGACCACTGTGTTCCCCTTCACCATGTTTGTACTATTGTGTCCCCCCCCCCTCACCATATTTGGACTACTGTGTTACCCCTCACCATGTTTGTACTACTGTGTCCCCCCTCACCATATTTGGACTACTGTGTTACCCTTCACCATGTTTGTACTATTGTGTCCCTTCATCATCATATTTGTTTGTCCCACTATGTCCCCCTTCACCATGTTTGTACTATTGTGTCCCCCCCTCACCATATTTGGACTACTGTGTTACCCCTCACCATGTTTGTACTACTGTGTCCCCCTCTCACCATATTTGGACTACTGTGTTACCCTTCACCATGTTTGTACTACTGTGTCCCTTCATCATCATATTTGTACCACTGTGTCCCCATAACCATGTTTGTACTATTGTGTCCATCCTAACCATGTTTGTACTACTGTGTCCCCCCTCACCATATTTGTACCACTGTGTCCCCCTAACCATGTTTGTACTATTGTGTCCCTCCTAACCATGTTTGTGCTGTGTCCCTCTATCACCATATTTGTACCACTGTGTCTGTCCCTTGCTATTTTGTATTGCTGTGTCCGTCCCTCAACATATCTGTATTACTGTGTCCCTCTCTAGCCATATTTATACTACTGTCTCCCTCCATCATCATATTAGTAACACTGTGTCTCTCCCTTGCAATATTTTTATTACAGTGTCGAATATAAGTCCCTCCCGTGATCAGGTATTATATTTTTTAACTTAACTATTGTGATGTGACAGAAATAGAACTCACCTATACCGGCTTTGTGCAATTTCTGTTTTTGACAAGTGAGAAAGTGTCATCAAAACCTGAAAAACATTGTAACACGAACTGTAGCTACACATTAAAACTTAAAGGAGAATTACCCTATCTAGGGCCACACAATATGTATACTCTGATAAATAAAAAAAAATCACAATTTGTATATACTTTAATAAAGTTAAGATCACGTTCTGTGTTCTTTGAATCTGAACTCATCTCAACATTATTCCAAAGTTTATCAAAGGCGTTAGACACAATAATGTAAATTAAATCCAATAATCCGAAGAAGATATAAACCTGTATCTCATTATCATATTACCTTTCGGAAGTCTTTGACATCAAAGAGATCTGGTGGTTCAAACAGGTCTGCATCCCGCAGACCAAACACTCTCTTACATGTCTGTAGGAAGGTTCGTATGTTCTTCAGGCATAAAAACTGTAGGGAGAAAAACAAGGAATAATTTGTAAAATCTATCTTAAAAGGGCTACTGCATATATTTATCAAAATGCAATCTATATCTTAATTCCTTCAATATAATGAGCTACGTACTGTGGTTATAACATGAACATGGTATCTGCCTGCAACTAGCTGTACAATGTAATAATATTGAATGATTAACAAGTCAACATAGCAAATGTTGTGTTTCCTTGCCACACAATATTTTGAATGATTAAATCAAATGCATTAAGTGATGCATTGTGTTGAATCAAATTAACTGTACAAGAACTTTCTAAACTGATATGAAACCTCCACAAAAGTAGTGTTGTCACATTGTAAAGGCTTAAACCACGATAATGTTGTTGTCTCCCCTTTCGTCATTTCAATTTATTATAATCTCTTTAATCAACACACCAAGTGATGCTGAAGCACATATAATTATTTCAATAAGCAAGATGAAGTGACATGAATGCCCCCGCAGGCACAAAATTGAAAATGTGAACTGTTTGAAATTTTCTAAGTCTAACTGTTTTAAATATTTTCTAATCCAACCTAACTAAGAAATTGACCTGTGTTTTCCCATAAAACATTTATATACCAAATTTCAATTCAAAATGTCTTATTGTGATAATAATAAGTTATAAACTGCTTGAAATTTTCTAAGTGCAAGGGGCATAACTCTATCAAAATAAATTCAACCTGTAGTGAAAAATCTTGAAATTAGTGCTAATTAAAACTTGATGGGAGATTTTTATTAGTAACATTAAAAAAATACAATTAGTTGTAGAAAACCATTTTGAAATAATGCATTAAAACCTGATTTTCAAGGATTGCAAGGAGGAACTTTATTATGATAATTTTATCAGAGTACACAATGCATATGGAGAACAAATGCTTGATTATGAGGAAATTTACTGATCTGCAAGATACCATGTACACATTTTCACTTGATAATATTATGTAGGGAAGACTTTCATTTCAGATATTAGATAGCCTATTTTACAGATTACTTGGTCTAATGCTGATACACTGATGTACGTTGGTGATTTTATTTTTTGTGTATAATCTGGTAAACTCTGTCTGAATAGTTCATGAAAAGATGTATGAATGTTTATGTTCATATCTCCTAACAAAATGTCTGGTCTGTGAGTAGATACAAAGTTTGACCTTTCCTTTCAACATACATGCAAATATTATTTAATTCGACTGAGGCATTCTAAAGTTAGAGCACAGAAACAATTTTTTTCACTGTTTCCCAAGTCAAGAAAGGGTCATAGCTCTGGTATAAATATACAGAAATATGCAAAAATCGAACTTGGCAAAGAATTCTTATATTTCTACATTCATTAAAAATATTATATAATTCTATTGAGGCATTCTAAAGTTATGGTGCAGAAACCAAATCCAGACAATTGAGGGATGGATGGTAAAAAATGTGAGCAAGGCTAACAACATCCCCACCAGCAGCTTCTCACACCTTTAACAGTTAAGTGATCTTTACCTTTATACGGAAACTTGTGGAATACAATTGCATTGAAGCTTCACAATCATTCAAAAATGAGTAAAGGATTTAGTATACAGCATCGACTGTATTCATCTGCAATGCTTAAGGACAAATCGAATCAAAATCCATTAGTGACTGAAATGTTTTTTTAAGTTTTTTAAGATAAATATATTAATGAAGAAATTAGAACATATTCTCTATCAAGAAAATATACTGAAAACATGGGGAAATTTCCCCAAAATAAGTAAAATTTCTAAAAAACAGAGTTAATTCATATATTTCATATTTTCAAGTCATGCTACCATGAAAGAGAAGTATCAATCTAACTTGAACTTTGTCATATTTCAATCATGTAACTTTCATGTATGTCATGTGTTTACCTATTCTTCTTTTGAATTCTGACCAAAAGGGCTGTCTGAAATATCTCCATTTTTCAAAATAGACCAAGAGTTCTTTTTCCACAAAGAGTAGATATAGTGTTCCCTTGCTTCTAAATAAACCACTGACAACATGGTAAGAAATGTTCAAAAGAAGGATGATCAAAATTATATTATATATACTATATGATAAACCCTGCTTATACAGAGCAGGACAACTTTAGGTAGAAATCAGTTTTTATATGGGATCCAGGCCTTATTTTGGGGACTCTGTGTGGCCAGATACGAACCTCATTCCAAAATGGATTTATTTCATAGTGTGGACAAATTCACAAAATATAAAGTTTAATCAATTTAAGCTTCATTCCTGAATGACCAGTTTCCTTCTCAAAATGAGATAAAAAGGCCTTGTCTTGAATTTACAGAAAAAAAAAATTGGATCACGATTATTTATCCATATAGCTTTGGAGACAGTTTTGTAAAAAAATGAATGAAATTTTGTGGTTCCAGTATTTTTTACTAACTGAGAAGGCTGTGTTGTGGCCAAAAAGATGAGGATCAGTTGACAAGTTTAATATGTTGTAGCATTATATTTGTTTCATATGGAGGTAGCAAGGTTTCCTCTAAAGTGGTAGCAAAGTCTAACAGATGCTTCCTAAATTTTTTCTCTCTCTTTTTTGTGGATAAAACGCATTTATCCATTTCATAAAATTATTTTGATATATTTCTTACAGAACTCAACTGATTTCTGACATATGTCACTAAAATGAATATATCTTTCAACTTAATTTTACCAGTATGTGCACCAGTAACCTAATCCATGACACACATTTATACTAAATAGTAAGGTACATTAAATTTGTAAGTTGTATTTCATGGGTTTAACATTGACAGACCAGGCTTGTAGCAGTATGTCTAATAGTATTTCATTACTTGATTGTTTGAAGAGGTGCACACAGGTTAAGTGTTCGCTTGTTCTTGATATTAGGATCTAGCTTCCTCTTTGAGCTTGTTCCAAAAGCTAACTACCAAATTATTAAAAATATTCTCCATTTAATATCTTGTTGATACATAAATATCATCTGTGAGTAATCGTGACTTGTTTTTTTTTCATCATAATAATATTTATCATTTCTACATCCTTGTCTAAAAATATTCATAATCTTAAGTTTTCTGTATTTATTATCTGTCTGCAAATATAACCCTATGAAAATATTACGTTTATCCGTGTCGGATCGTACCTAATAATCGTCATATATACAGTTTCGTATGGTAGCTCGAGTTGTTCCTACTTCTATTAAATTAAGTGATAGGGTAGTCCATCGCTTCCGGACGTGAAACTAGGAAGTGAAATATAAACAAAAGTATTCGTGTTACATTGACACTTTTACATAACTGTGAAGTTCCAATCAAGTCATGCCTTTGATTGTAATTACTTCATAATTTTGCAAGTATGTACATTAAATATGACCAGTTGCAAAGATGACAATTCCATCCTGTTTTTCGATCGTCACCAATGAATGAAACTGACCTGGGAAAGTTGCGGACGAGGGCTGAAATCCTTGACGTCCACACACGCAGTCGATAAGTTGTTAAGTAAATGACATATTAAAACACCGTCTCTCAAAGCTTGTGCTAGATCAAATATTTCAGCATCCGGAAGTGTTGCACGGTGATCCTCTGGCAATATTTTACAACGAACTAGCCAGTTCGCACACTGCTGCCATTCCTCCGACGCCATTTTGAAGACTATTACAGCTTGCAGTCCCGCATCGTGATGATCAACGACATAACGTCATTTGAAATATCGTAATAATTAAAACTAATATTTGTTATAATTAAAATATGGTGGCGAAAGTTTGGTGCGTATTGTTGGAAGGGTGAAATCTCATTAAAAGTTGCCAAAATGGGATGTAACCTAAATACGAAAATAAAAACGATAAATGATAAAACTAGCTTTACTTCGAGCGCGGTATGTCGCATGGGTTTCTATGGTCAAGACTTCCTTCTTGGATGTGATATTAAGAACTGCATATTTTTGTGTCGTTCACTTGATCATTGCCAAATTGCAGCTTTTTTGGTAAATATGTCTGCTATGATTTGATTTTTCAATATCGGAATTTGCTGCAAATGTTGCGGCAGTTGACGAAAATAAGTAGACCGAGTAGGCCTTGTCTGCACTTGCACTAAGTCTGGTGATTGGTATAATGTAAGCGTTATGTAGTTGCGATGTTGATTGTACCAGGTGTTTTAATAACGCCATGTATTACCATCAGTACAGGAAGTAATTGTAACCGAAATATATTATTGTTAACTCGGTAAATGTTTCCTAAAATGACAACAGTTGACGGCTCATGTGATGTATAGAATATTTGAAATAATGATTAAAAAAAAAGCTTGCCAGTTGATAGAATACATTGAGATAACAACTTGCTGTATTAATATTGCTTGCATCTAATTGACTGGTCTTATTAACGTTGCAGTAACAATCTGACATCATTTAACTATATCCGCTACACACAATTATAGCTGATAGAACACAATTATAAACAGCATCAACAACGTTGAATGTTGTGCTGTCCAATCTACTTTGTTATTATAGGAAATGAAAACAAATTATAGAGGAGATAATTCTGAATTACTAAACTAAAAACATCTGTAACGTGAGTCTGAGTGTATGATACGGCTCCCAGATAAAGCAACATCTGCTCAATCATTCAGAGTCAAGAATCAACAAGCATTGAAGGAACTATCTGCTCAAGTTCCAATTGCAGTATTGAAGTTCAAACAACTCCAAAGTAGACAGAAAATGACTTTTTTTTAACTTTTATAACTAATTATCAGATGTTTAGGAATTGCTCTGCTGATACATAAGTAGTGCCAAATTTTACATGTACATAATTTATATTCCTAGGATTATATTAGAAGGATCAAGTTAGTGTGGCACTCTGCTGACGGATCATGCTTCTTTGGCTCAGTTGGAAGAACCATGCATTATCACCTTGAAAACAGAAAAAAATATTCTCTCTCTAAAAAGGAAGTTTAATGTCAGTATTCACATTCAAAGTGGTATTTATAGTCTTGGGATGAGATTTAGGAAATCTAAAAAAAGACCCAAAAAGAAGCGAGAGCAATGTAAAAGGAATGAGTCAATGTGGCTTTTATATAGTGTTAAATATGGTCTCTGTCACTCAGCTGATAGAGCATGCTTCCTTGGCTCAGTTGGTAGAGCCAGTTGATTATCATAGTGGAGACTCTGGTTCAATTCCTGGTTGAGGCATTTAGCAGAAATGTTAAGTTTTCTTGGTTCCTTCACAAAGTTATAAGACATACATATTAGTGAAACCAGATGTTTGAAGATTGCTCTGTGCTATCCTTTCGTAATAAAAAGCAACATTGATACTTGATTATAATGATTGTAGAACTTTCCAAAGTTTTTGCAAGATGGCCATAATAAGTACTATTTTTAAGTACATATTAAATATCTTGGCAAAGAGATCTATCTCAGCTCATACAACCGTTCCTATTTAGGAAGGAGTCTCAGGTTTTGGGCCTCTAATTTTGTTATTTGCAAAACTTTTTTTATTATCTAAGATGTGATGTTTGAATGAAGCTGGCATTTACAAGTGTTATTCAGGGTTTTCCATAAGAGTCGGTCGCCAGCCAATTTGAGTGGTTACTTTGATCATTTGGCCGCCTACACCAATCCAGTTCCGTAATAATGTTCCTTACACGTACACGGCAGGCCACTCCTACCCCGCCTAGTTGTGACTCGGGTCGGCTGGCTTTGCCAGCCTCCTACTTCCACTACACAGCCTACTACTAACAAAATTATGGAAAACCCTGGTTATTTCTTCACTGGAGGATATATGCACACACTTTTTATATGCCTTTATTTTTGAGCATGTAAAATTTTGCCCATGAAAATTTCAATATGTTGGCAAGTGTGCAATCGGATGAATCAAAGTATAAGGATTGTTTATAACAGAAGGGATACTAATGAAAAAAATTCAGTAATAGATATGAAAATTTCTAAGCAATAAATATACCCAGATGAACACAATATGTACTACATAGACATTTATGCTGATGTATTCTTACCTATGTGCTGGGTTATTGTAGATAAGCTTTATTTATATACTTGCAGAAATTGCTTATCTTGTAAAGTAGAAATCACACAGTCTTTAGTGTCGCTTAATTGGTGCAAGTGACAGTAATCAGTTTTGCTTTTTATTCTTCAGATGATGGAGTGAAGACCAGAAGCATCAATGAATAAAACGCCCAACTACTTTGAATCGTCCTACTTTATCCACCAAAGGTACGAGGACACATCGCTAATGATATTTCAGCAGCAGCAACGTAAGAAAAAAGATCTGAACTTTGCCACCAGTACAAAACGCCCACTGTCCGTGGAGGGTGACCCTAGTAACCATGTGGAATTTGGTAACTATGGTAACAGAGGTGTGGTGGCTCGACAGGAAGGCATTAACCACATGAAAATGGATTCCAGTCATGTCCAGTCCAGTGTTTGTAGCATAGTTTAGCCACATCCATTACCTGCTTTCCTTGGACCTAACATTACATTCCTTTTATATCAATAATATCACGCACCATTCTGTTCCACATTTTTGTTTTTGCTTACCTTTATATAATCACCTGAACTTATTTTAATTGCTTATGTTATACTTGTGGCATATCACAAACCAAGCTACACTATCATATTTCATATCAAGCTATTTTATATAAGCTGTAATATTCATAACTTACCATGGAGCTACACCCAATGCTTGATTCTGACACCATGCCCAATACAGGGCTATGGTATGTATTATCTACCTTTGGAGACAGCCCTTCAATCCGTGTTGGCCATACTTGTTGTTTTGTTAAGGGATCAAAGCCTGGTGACAATGGTAGGCTGTATGTCATTGGTGGGGCTAATCCCAGTGGTGCTTTTTGCGATACCTTCTACTTAGATCTTAACACCATGCAATGGGATATTGTGGACTACCCAGGATTCCGAGCCAGATATGAGCATGCTGCCTTTATACCTGCAAGTTCCCCAGATAAAATATATGTGTTTGGTGGAGCAGATCCAACTGGAAACATGAACGATATACAGGTGTTGGATACATCCTCAAATTCCTGGTCTACCCCAGTCATTACAGGAAAACCACCAACGCCTCGGACATTCCACACAACAGCAGTGGTAGGAGATTGGTTCATCGTGTATAGTGGAGGCCACAGTGGCCCTGACCCAGTAGGCGACAGACAAGTCCACTGTTTTGATTCAAAAACTGGCTCTTGGTCCATTCTTCATGTACAAGGAGATTCACCCAAACCCCGTCATGGTCATGTGATGGTAGGAATTGGAAAACGCTTGTTTATACATGGAGGTATGGCTGGGGCTTCTTTTTATGATGATCTTCATATACTCGACCTTAATAAAAGGTGCTGGTCCAATGCTAGGAAGAAGAAAATGTTTCCTTCAGCCCGAGCAGCTCATTCAGGTATGGCCTACCAAACCGACCTATATATTTTTGGTGGAATGAATAGGGAAGGAGCCCTTGATGACCTTCACAAACTGGATACAGGTAAGTTTTGTATTAGTAAATCTTCTTGCTTATCTTTCCTTCTCGTTTAGCAAATCTATTGAAATCAATCAAAACTATCTATGAGGCCAGGTATGCTTTGTGCAACAAAAAAATAAAGAGTACTTTTACATAAATGTTGTTTTAATTCCTTAACTACAGGTGCATAGTTATCTTCTACAATTTTGTTTTTTCAAATTGATGAAGAATTTTTGAAATCCAAAATATGTACGTTTTTATAACTAGTTTCTTTTCATGAGATAATATTTCAGGTATTTATGTGTGAATAGTAAATGTTATATTGATTTAAGAAGAATGAACATATCAGAAGAGAACTGATAAAGGCCTTGGTTATTTGAAATCCCTTTGGTGTTGTATCCAATCAGTAACATTATGAAATTGAAATGATTGCCCCAGTGTCCACAGTTGCTTATCCTCGGTTATATTCTACAGTGTCTATGGTGTGGACGAAGATTGAGCTGCAGGGCCCCCCACCTGCCTGTAGACTAGACTTTGGTATGTGTTACCTTGAACTGGAGCGTGCTTTTCCCGACACAGCCGAAGAAGATGACATCATTGGAGCTACACTGGATGCCCAAGAGGTTCTAGATCGTGAGCTCAAGCCGGGCAGTGCCAGTTCCCGGGGCAGTAGTGTCAAACCTGGAAGTGCCAGTTCTCGTGATAGTTTCTCTCTACGAGATTTAAAACCAGGCAGTGCTAGTTCTAGAGATAGCAGACACGACACCAGCTCTGGTAAATTTGGATATTACAACATCAAATATGTATCTTAACTTGATGTGTGTTCTCCTCAATACCAAACCTTGACAATGATGATGCGTTCATTAATTGTTCAAAATAAAAAATAGAAAAAGTGTGCAACAAATATATAGCAGACAAATTTTATATACATTCTAAAACTTAAAAGTGAAAAATTACCTGGTACTGAAGTCATTTGTTTATAAATTTGTTCTCATGTATTATAAACAAAGAAATGCTTTTCTTTCACTTTCTTTGACAAGAAGTTACAACACTTAGAATACCAGGCACATGTGTTATAAAACAAGTTCTGCAAAAAGCAATGTATGTATTTTGTCATCAACAGAGAGTTCCAGCCAAGGTACAGAGGGAACCCAGAATCTACCTGACCTATTGCCGGATCTACAAGGTGCTGAGGGACCAGCTGATCCTCGGGACCAGTTGTCCGACAGGGATGAGGAAGAAGAAGAGGAAACACCCAGGCCAGAAGGTGCTACTAGTGCCACTAATGTTAATATGCCCTCTAACACTATGACCATGAAGTTCTGTCTCATACATGGAGGCATGGACACTGAGGGTGAGATATTTGATGATGCCCTTCTTTATGTTATACCATAGTGTCAACAATAGTGTGAGCATTGAAGTTTGCTCTGTGTTTAGATGTGCTAAGAGGTAAATCAATGTCTCGTGCAAGAATCTGTATAGTTGCTAATATTCGTGAGTTTTAATATTGCTAAATTCGTGAATTCATTAAACTTTCTAAATTTAACACCCTATGAAATATTTCAGATGATGGCCATATGATATAAGAATCATGAGTCACTCAGCCATATGAAGTGATACTGCCGCAGACCAAATTATACACATGCACATATGCTGCAATACAGTTTAAAAGGGAGAATGTTTTTTTTCACATTTCTTTGTCCTGTGACAGTTTGCGTACCACTTTAGATTTGTGTGGTGTAAGTTGGAGCACAGATAATTATTAAAAACATTCAGAATACAACAACTCAGCTATTGAAATGCAATGAAACTTTACTGAAACAAATCACTTACCAGGTATGTAAGTTATCATGTTATGTATAGGTAATCCAAGTTATTGAAAGTAAGTGACAATCAGAATTTTATGCCAGGTGTCCAGAAAATCAGCAGAATTAATCCACGGCAAATAAGTTTCAGACAGAAAATTGTGAAATTTTACACTTGCGAATGTAACAACTATACAGAGACCGAATATTTAACTGCTTAATAGTTATTGTTTATTATTTCTGCACCATATTTATACAAGCTCAAACATGACACTTAATATCATTTTTGTTATGAATAAGGGAATGTGTTCAAATGATATATGTATGTAGTCACAATACCAGAAGGATTCCTTTATAAGACTTCATCAATGATAAGATCTGTTGCTTTGAGAAAATGGATTTGTTTAAACTTTTATCTTTCCATGTTTAGGAGTTGATTATAATTTTGTAAATTTTGATTTTTTTAATTGTTTGCATTTCTCAAAACCCATCTGGAATCCATATTCAAGATGCAGCTGCACATCAACTTTTAATTGTTAGTAATCAATTGCATATTAACTTATTATGATTTTATATAATGTACACGGCGGTAGGTAACAATAGACACTTAATCAAAATCACAAAACCACCCAACTATAAACTTTATAGCTTCGTTAAAACTTTGATGTATAAGAAATATCACATGTGATAGATATGCTTTTCAGTAGTGTGACATTTTGTTACAATGTTTGTCAGGTTATATCATATCCCCCCTTTTTTTTAATTGCTCAAGGGTTTTAGAAAAAAAAAATTTCAAATTGATTTGATATGATAATTCTGAGGGGCCTTTCAACCATCGGTTGGTAGATCCTGTTACAATGATATTCAAACTGGTAGGTGGTTGACAGTGATGACTGTGGAAATTACAAGACAAAGTATTTAAAAACCGATTTAATCATATCATTTTATACCTACCAAGAAATTTGAGATAAGTATTTTGTAACATATTTTTTGCATAATTATTGTCTAATTGCTCCATGTATAAAGGGTTGTTTGTTAAGTTGATATGATTTCAATCTGTTAAAAGTCATGACATACAGTCTAGGTTTTATTCAAACATTTAATGCAAAAATCAAAAAACAATTATTCTAAATTAATGTTCAGATTTTAATGCACTTATCATAAAATTTGATACTTAATAAACAAATGCCTTTAGATCAAAACATTGTACATAACATATATAAATGAATGTATGATAGATATTATATTTATACAATTTAGTACTTTTGAAGTTTTAAATTTAATATTTGAAGAAATAGTCTGTAAGACTTTGCCAGTTTATTGAATACAGAGATCTCAAATATGTCTCCTTTAATACAGTCCACTGTAGACCTGGAAGGTGATGATCTTTGAATTTGTTACAACTATGTGATCTGTTGCCATACTTGATAGAATCTGTCATTCCTAAACCCTTATTAAAGAGATCTTATTGTAAATTGTGTATAACTGAGGGGGATGTAGGTTGCCCCCTCACATTGCCAGAACAATGATGTTCGTCGGTGAGACATTACCCGTACATGGGAGGAGTCACGGAGACGGAAACCTGTCTGTCAGTCAGAATGTGTATAATATTGTATTCTTTTTCGTTTTTGCTATCTCTCATTTGCCAAAACCAGTTACCTACATGTGTTAGTGTCTTTGTTTGATACATGTATACCAGTGCTACAAGTTTACACCAGAAATATCTCTCCTCCTTCATTTGTGGAATAACATATTTCTTGCTGTCAGGGATTTTTTTTCAGACAAAACTTGAATCGGCTGAAATCATATCTTTATAATTTATAAAACATAAGGAAAGTTTTGATATCACTTTTCTGTGTTTCAAAACTGAAGATGTAAAATGTGACATGATTTACCAATCTTTATACTCCATTGCCACATATCACTGAATACTGAAATTTAGTTTGGAACCAACAGGGTATTGGTTGTTATAACTGTACTGTACTGTCTCACTCCAGTCTTCATAATCCAAATATTATTATCTGGTGAGTTCACTGACTCCTGCTTCATTCTGTGTTACTTCTTAGAAGAGAAATTGATCTCTGGTGTCCGAATGGATTTAGAGCTTACATCGATACCTTGTGTCTTGACAGTCTATAACAGTGATGTCTGGTTCCTTAACAGTCTGAAGCAGACTTTGATATCTTGTATCTTAATTGTCTATAACAGTGATGTCTGGTTCCTTAACAGTCTGAAGCAGACTTTGATATCTTGTATCTGAATTGTCCAGAACAAACATTGATATCTGGTGTCTGAATTGCCTCTAAGAAACTTGATATCCAGTGTCTTAACTGTTTATAATAAATACTGATACATGGTGTCTTAACTGTCTATAACAAATAATGATATCTAGTGTCTTAAATGTCTACAACAAACAGTTACATCCGGTGTCAGAATGGTATATAAGAAACTTGATATCCAGTGTCAGAATGGTTTATAAGAAACTTGATATCTGGTGTCAGAATGGTTTATAAGAAACTTGATATCTGGTGTCAGAATGGTTTATAAGAAACTTGATATCTGGTGTCAGAATGGTATATAAGAAACTCGATATCCGGTGTCAGAATGGTTTATAAGAAACTTGATATCTGGTGTCAGAATGGTATATAAGAAACTTGATATCTGGTGTCAGAATGGTATATAAGAAACTTGATATCCGGTGTCTGAATGGTCTATAAGAAACTTGATATCCGGTGTCAGAATGGTTTATAAGAAACGTGATATCCCGTGTCTGAATGTTTATAAGAAACTTGATTTCCGGTGTCAGATTTGTCAATAATAGATGTTGAAATTCCTTGCCTTAGCTGTCTTTAACAAAAATATAACTATCTATAGTAGACATTGTTATCCGGAATCACTTTTGTAAGGGAACATCCTAACATAATGCCTTTCCACAACAAAGTTCAAAACATGACAGACACAGTTGTAAACAATGGCAAAAGCATTTTACATGGTCAGCAGTGATGTAGACTGTAAAAATGGCTTTTTTAATGATATGTCAGCAAAGTCCAACCATATTTTTTCATAAGGACCTGTTCCACATTTGTTAATGAAGAATTTTGAAAAATGAGAGACATTTAAAAAATACTTTATCATAATGTTCCTTTTATATGATTAATTTTTATATAGATTTTGTGTGTTTTGTCAGTAAGCTACTTTAATATGAATTGTTTGTACCATATAAAATCTCTTGAGATACTGTTAGATTTCATAACTTTATCTGGAAATGATATAGGATTATGTGCCAAGTCTTGTTTTCTAGAATTCTTTTTGTTACAACATACCAGCTGTGGACCTTCTAACATATACATGTCATGTATAATAAATCGGAAATTAGTTATCTATTATAGATATATTATTATGTGCCAACTCTTGTATTCTAGAATTCTTTTTGTTACAACAACATACCAGCTGTCGACCTTCTAACATATACATGTCATGTAAAATAAATCTGAAATTAGTAATCTATTATAGAGTTCCGTAACCAAGAACACCTCTGAGTCAGCAATAACAGATTATAATTGATACAATTAAGCATGAGATTATTGTCATGTTATGCATAACAGGTTTATTTTGCAGTCAGTTATATCACGAAACTTAAGAAACAGAAACTAAAAGTATATAATGTCATGTTATACATAACAGGTTTATTTTGCAGTCAGTTATATCACGAAACTTAAGAAACAGAAACTAAAAGTATATAATGTAACAGTTTCTCATTTGAAAATTTGCAGTGCAATATTCACCACGCACTTCTTAATGAAAATTTGACACAAGCGAAAAAAACCTTTTATACAAAAGTGAGTAAAGACGTGTTACAAGTACAGAGTATTGTTAGTGAAAAGCTTGCCGTTGCAGAAAATTGATATTAAATGTAACCTTAACAGTTAGATGCTTGATGTAATGTCGTTATTGTAAACATCCTGCCTTATTTAATATGTACAGACTTCTCTAATAAGCAATGCTCATAATACCTCTTAAAGGGTTTTTAGTTCTCTGAAGTAAACGTGGTTTGTTTAAACATCCAATTCATATAGCATTAATATCTTTAATGGAAAGTTTCACGAAGGACTATGGATATACTGACAAAAAGCTATATTAATTAACTTAGATTTGAATTTCACTATGGCGAGCATGTAAACAATTGGAGGGGATTCACTGCTGAAATGATATACCAAAATTTAGCAGGAAAAACATAAATTTGTGTGTTGTTTAGCGGGTAGTGAAAACGTTATATTCTTAAATGTGTCATTCATATAGCTGTTAGTCATGGGTGTACTATAATTTTTCTTTATTTAACATAATGCTTTGATTCTCAAGTGTTACAGTGTACTTAAAAGTGCTGCCAACGCACACTAGAACTGGGTATTAGCGTATTGGAGACCTGTTACTTTTCATTTCACAAATAGCACCAGAGCTTTTTAGAGGTGCAAACCACTGTGTAACTACCTAAGAATCTAGGAAGATATACATTCATTATTATTATAATGCTATGAATATTGGTTCTTGCTAATTTACAATGTTTTTATAAATCATTTTACAGTAAATTATTTGGGACATATCAAGCATATGGTAAAACAGGTTAACTGAATTTGTCGGCTTGAAATTCCTGCCTGATAGATTTTGAATTTGCAAAGGTTTTCCTGTTCATTAATACATGTACTTAAAATGAAAGTGTTCCAGATTTTACCTCGACATATTACATCTGTGCATAACCAAAACGATTGGTTCCCTGAACATTAATCAAATGACAGCTGATACTTACTTTTATGAGAACATATTATAAGAGGCTGGGTCTATGAACAAGATTTGCTGGATTCGTCCCCCATGAACATGACACTCTGAAAATGTTTGGTTATATTGTTTATCATTTTCTTTGCTATTGGAAAAAAAACAATAATCTGGATACCTGTGAAGTGAGAAAATGCTAAAAATTAGCAGGAATCTCTATTTTTGAATATTGAGGGTTTCAAGTGAAATGGCGTTATGTTAACATTGTTTTTTTTTTTTTTACAGTTTTTGAGATTAACATTATGTATCGGTTATATTAATTTTTTCCCCCCAAGAGTGTGAACCAAACTTGAAAATGTCTTGGATGTAGGTTGACAGAGGATCACTCTTTATGTCTAAAAATATTTGTGCCAATAAATTTATACCAATGAGATATTCTGTCTGGATCAGCTTCATAGCTCATTGATGTCAAAGTATAATGAATATTTTTCATATACATCCTCCTGTTTTTGAGACATTGCTTTGAAAAGTCCATCGTTCCCAAGGAAAAATTGGATTAAATATTGCTGACTGGTTGATTGAAACACTATAGGCTCCCAAATAGAATATCACTTAATGGCAGAAAAAAACCCATTTAAACACTATAAGTTGCATTCTCAAAGCATGAAAGCTGATTTGCCAATTTGTTGGATTCTGAAGTCTTTGCTTGCGACTGTAATGCTTATGTAATAGGGAGCTTTAGTCCAAACCTTTTGGTTTATAATAGGAAATGAATGTCATATACTATGTGGGCAGCAATTAGTGTATCACTTGTTGAAGAAATAAAGTATATGAAAGCACATTTTGTTTGTGGATTTTTAATTTCTGTTCTTCATATATGAAATGGTCAACAGTAATTTCAGTACCGTGTTACTTCAGTTTATAAATTGATGTGAAGGTAATACACATGTACATAAGACTAGGTATGAACAGCTACAGATGATATGTACAAATAAATAATGTTGTGCTGCGACAAATGACATCAAACCATTAAAATGTTTTTTTCTCTGTTGTTTATAACAACTGACCACAGTGGGTTCTTCGCACGTAATAATGTGTGATCTGTATTTACTTGGAATTGACCATTGGTGACCCACATGAATATATGAATGGTCAGTCCAGAACTTCTTAAGAAATAACAATAACACACTTTAATTGTTGAAATCCGAAGATGAGTGTCTGGCGGACATTCTCTTCTTATCAGTCCCTAAATTGATCATACAAAACAAGGACGGAGGGGTCTCTACATGTACATACAAAGTTTTAGAAAGATCCACCCGATGAAATAGCTACAGCCCACACTGATGAAATAGCTACAGTCCACACTGATGAAATAGCTACAACCCACACTGATGAAATAGCTACAACCCACACTGATGAAATAGCCATAGCCAAACTGATGAAATAGCTACAGTCCACACTGATGAAATAGCCATAGCCCACACTGATGAAATAGCTACAGCCCACAATGATGAAATAGCTATAGCCCACACTGGTGAAATAGCTATAGCCCACACTGATGAAATAGCTACAGTCCACACTGATGAAATAGCTATAGCCCACACTGATGAAATAGCTACAGTCCACACTGATGAAATAGCTATAGCCCACACTGATGAAATAGCTACAGTCCACACTGATGAAATAGCTACAGCCCACACTGATGAAATAGCTACAGCCCACACTGATGAAATAGTTACAGTCCACACTGATGAAATAGCTATAGCCCACACTGATGAAATAGCTACAGCCCACACTGATGAAATAGCTATAGCCCACACTGATGAAATAGCTATAGCCCACACTGATGAAATAGCTACAGCCCACACTGATGAAATAGCTACAGTCCACACTGATGAAATAGCTAGTCCACACTGATGAAATAGCTACAGCCCACACTGATGAAATAGCTACAGTCCACACTGATGAAATAGCTACAGCAAATTTCACCTTTCAAAATCCAATGTGGTCAACCATTTCGTTTTGCTGATCATTTCCAAAACTGAACAGGCACAACAAGGGACTGAGAACAAACATATGAAGTTGGATGTAATGAAAATGAAGTTAATTTTCTTTACTTATCTGATTTTGAATTTAAGGTATATATTTTTCAAAGATTTATTTCATCCTCAAAAATAGTAAAAATTTTAACTCCTGAGCAATAACAATCTGATTCAATGAAGTTAAAACAGGACATGTTCTGAACATGTCCAGAAAGTTCCATCCCTTTATGTTCTTTGGAAATAGCCATAACAAAATTCATGTCAGAAACCCAAAATGGCTGTGATGACAGATGGTCACCTTAACAATTGATCAGGTTTGTAATAATGTGTCTTCATCTAGAACCCTTATAAACTGAACATATCCCTAAGTTTTTTTAGAAAAATCCTTGAAGCTTCAGGAAATAGTGAATAATCTTCGAATAGCAAATCCTACATTTAATTAAGATCGTAACTAGGCATCCACAACTAGGACCCATGACTTACTGTCTCTTACACCAGGTAATTGTTCATCTGTTCTTGCGACACTTTATCTTCTGAGCTCAAAATGTTGAGAAGGACATATTACTCATTGGTCTGTAACAATATTGGGACCAATGTGATATCTAATAAAGCTGCTGTCTAAAAAAACCCCTTCTTTTACTGCTATTTTCCATCACAAGAAAATTGTGTTGCCACATTGAAGATAGCTTCCATGGCCACTTTTTTGTAAGTCTTCCAATATCAAGACATACCCCACAGTATACAAGATTTTATACTTAAAACTCATCAGAGAGGTCTTGAGCAAAGGGGTAGCAAGAGGTCAAAAGGACCTGAATCACTCATATCTGCAAACTTGAAAGCCAATTCCCCAAGCATGGTCCTACACAAGTGACTCAAGCCTATTGCTTGTTGACCCCTATGACCATTAGAGGTTGTCATCATCATTCATTTCAAAAAAAACTTGGTAGCCCTTTATCCCATTAGTCCACTTGCTCATGTACATCAGTCATTATTAGGTTTTCAAGGCATACCACTTGAAAGAAGATCAAAGTAATACAGTTGAAGTAGCTTGGTAGACCTTGATCCCAACATGTTACAGACCCAATATTAGTCCTATACCTTGGACCTTTCTGTTATTAAGAAGTTGTTGCAAGGGAAAAGTTGCAATTGGAGGACACATTTGCCTTTCTGACGGGCAAGTTGAAACTTGAAGAAATGAGTTGTGAACCGATTCTAATATACCACAACCAGTTAGAACAACATTTGTGCATCACATTTTAGTGGCTAAACAAATAACTAGTGAAGCGTGAGTACACTAAGGTGTACAGTGCACAATGTACAGGATGGTAATCGATTGGACTTTTTTGCCCAAATTATAATAATGTTACATTTGCAAAAAAATAATTCATGTTGGATATGGCAATAAAACTATTTGGCTACCAACATTCTCTATTTATTCATATAATATGCTTTATATGAGCTATAAAAAGAATTGATTGGAGGTTGACAAACTGATTAACAGACAAACAGACCCCACATGAAAGATGAGGTTAAAAGATCCTGGTATCAGAAAGACTTTTTTAATCGAAAAGAAAACACAAAAGAAATGTCATATGCAATCAATCATTAAAGGACTTTATGACATTTATTTAAATGATATTCCATTTTCTGCAATAGTAAACTTTTTCTGCCAGGATGAACAATTCACACTAAACTGTATTACATTACTAAAATCTCTCATCAGCACAAGTCTGTGTTTAACAAATCGAGACCAATTACGAGAGAGAAATTCAAAATGGTCCATATCAGCTGTGCCGCTTTCATCTCCCTTCTCCGATTCTTTCAGTTTTCGTTTGAAATATGCAGACTTTGTTGCAAAAAGAACTAAATTATAATCATTGACAAGGTGTGTGAGAATGTCAACAATGAGGTTCATGACATGTTCTTGAGCTGTCACACTTTCACCTCCAGCACATCTGTCCAGCCAATAAAATGCTGAAATGCTGTCAATCATGATCACACAAATATCAGGATTAGTACTAATTTTTGTTTCAAGACTATGCAGAGTAGCAAGAAGCTGCATGCTGCTTTTACACTGAAGAACAATCAAACGTTTCAGAGAATCTTTTATGAGAATTTCCACATCTCCTGTGTTTGGAGTGAAGCTTGCACACAAATTTTCAGTAGTAGTCACTTGTTCATTCTGGTTAAGAAAAGCTAATATCTTTTTTTCCAATAAAGTAACAAGACGAAGTATTGAAAACTTATAGTCTGTATCAAAAAACACCACACTTGCTCCACATCCACCAAAGTTCCAACCTCTCCATGTCTTTGGAAGGATTAAGGAGCAGGCTATATGAAGAAGCATTTCTGTTTTACCACACCCTTCACTTCCATAAATCTCCAGCACATCTTTCCCTTTTAGCCCTGAAGGAAACAACGTTGGATCCACATTTGAAATATTTGGTCGATTTCCAAGACGAGCAAGCAGCTGAAATGCAAAAATTTAAAAAGTTATCTAAGTTCAATAACATACTGTGTGACACTTAATATTTGGTGGTTTTAAAGAGATTTGAATTAATGTTAAAAGATGTTGATTCTTCAAGGTTCTAAGAAGAAGGAGTGATAATTGTACAACTGTGTGGGATCTGAAATTTGTGTTGTAGTGTATGATATAAGAATTTGAACTTCATGTTTCCATTTCATATACACATACATGTATACTGTATATGCAATTAAACCATTTATCATCAAATAGAATGGCAGATGCAAGTTTATGTCTGTGTTCAAGTGAGATCCAGCACAGGGTTTCATCTTGCAATGCTAAGAAAGTGTGGATCCCAGATGGGTCATGGTGCCCATAATTTGATACTCTTTTTCGTTTCTCTGTAAAATTGATCTTTTCTCATCTTTTAGTAAATGTTATATTTACTTAATACCAAAAGGGAATGAATTGTACATAGTACTAATTGCAATTAAGAACTCCTTTGAAATGGACACAATTTTAAACTTGTTATAGGGGGCCGGCCCTAACCTCTGAACAAAATTGATTCCCCTTCACCCAAGAATGCTTTAGACCAAATTTGGGCAATATCCATCCATTCATACAGGAGTAGGATTTTAGAACTTGCTAAATGTCACTTACTTGGCCTTGCCCCTCTGGCCTCTGTGGGTTTGTATTGATACAAACTTGGGGAATCAGACCAATTTGGTCAAAATCTGTTCAGACATTCATGATTAGTAGTAAATTTTAGTAAAAAGTTTCCAGATTATGTACAGTTAGTCATGGCATAAGCTCACTGGTCCACTGCATCCCTTGAGAACACTTAGCTGCCAGTTTGTCAGTTGTCAACAACTTGCATGAAAATTGTGATAGTGGGAACAGGCTCTTGAATATCGAATTAAGTACAACTTTAAGTTGGAAATGAAGGAAGGTTGCTATCCAGCAATGAAAAATTAACAATGAAGGAAATTAAAATCATCACACTTATCACACTGCTCGGTGGAAAGCTGTCCATGTTTGTTTCGTTATAGGAAAAAAAACAGCTGATATAGAAGACTCTATCGAGTCCTTGATTTCCAATTCTGGCTTGTACTATTAATCTATGATAAACATAGTCAACATGTATATTCATCTGACAGTGATATTGAAGGATTTGACACGGTCATTATGACATGCTCAACAAACTCGACGATGTTGTATACTAGGAACTCATTTTTTATTATTACGTTCCCAACATAATTCCGCTTCTTTTGCACTTGGTCACCTCGACACCCTTTACTTATCTTGCGACACTTGGTCACTTCGGTGCTAAGAAGTGTCACTTTGAATACCGAACTGTGCAAAACTGTCCATGAAAAGTACTGAGGTGAATGACGGTCTAAGTTACATTATATCTATTTAGTGAATGAACCATCATGTCCCTGTGTTTACGAACCGATTTGTTTTTTATGCCGATATTACTCCATTCATGGACGTCTCGGCTTCGGTTTAGGCAGTAGTAGGTAACGGATGCATCTTCGACATGCTGATTTTTCTTCAACTGTCACAGTAAATATGAACCCTTTTCTGCGTATAAAGGAAGTGAACTTCATATTAGTTAAAAAAAGGGAGGTTGTTATACAAAAGTTTAATACTAACCTGTGCTCCCGTTTCAGAGCAACTCATTCTCATCTTTTAAGTTTAAGCGCCACTAATGATATTGCAAAATAATAACAAAGACTAGAGAAGCGAATTTATAATTACAATTAACTTTCACTATTTTATTCATCGATCTTTTCCAGTTATTTTTAGTTAACAGACTTGCTGAATTATTTCATAGATATACGTCTTCTCTCGTGATGGTAATTTATTTTTTATCAATGACATGAAAATTCGCCAAAACTGTTGCGCATGCGTGCAGGAAGAGGGTTCACACGGTAAACATTTCCTCTGGATATGAAAAGATTGCAAGCGTTTTTTTTTTTTTTTTTACTGCTACTAATGCGTACAGTCAGCTTTGTGGAATATAGTTATTGATGCATTTTGCTTTGTATAATTGTTGCAATACGCAGTTTTAAAGCTCTGGCGCACATATATACATATTGTATTTGCCAAAACATTGTGCACATTTCAAGAATGACAGGCATTTCCATTGATTGACAATGGCTGCAAGAACACCTCAAACTGGTCGGAGAAGAAAACGACAGCAACCACCAGTGTACAGTGGAATAAGTGGTTCATACGAAGACAAAGACAACGATTATGTTTGGTGCGTTTTTTCTAATGATTTGCATTGGTTTGACATAAGAGAATGGCAGTATCTTATGCATCCCGCTTGGCAATTTGATCGACTATTAATCATGTTTTCAGCAAGCATCGTCTGTTTGTCTTAGCAAACTCTAGTTTCAGTTTCATTGAGCATAATACATTTTGACACGCCAATAACTGGACATATTTTATGGCCAGGGCTTCAGCAATAGAGCACATTAAGCATCATTGTTGATGGAGTTCTAATGCTTGAAGGATAATTCCCCATGTGACATGCAGTTACACATTGTCAACAACCTGACAATAGAAACATGTATATAGTTGTGATTGGCTTCTGCGACAATTTTGATGTAGTGCTGCATGCATTCTGAACAGAAGCAGATTTAGCCACTGCAGCTGGCCTGTTAGCACAGGCCAGTTGATTTGCTTTCACCCAGGGCGTTTGGTTTTTGTGTAGTAAACAGTCAGGTTAGTTTTATATTCAGGTTGAACTATCTGACATGTTGTGTTTCTCTTGCTGAGTACTGTATATGGTACATTGCATTTGTACCAGTACTGAGAAAGTATTTCCGGACATTTAGGATTTTATTTTCTTGCGGAGCACTCCTCCCCGAGCCAACACATTTAAAAGGCCCTTTCCATGGCCTTATATGGATAGTTTTACTGGATTTATGGTAGGTCTGCAGACCCAGAAGCTAACTTATACTTAAATTTACCTCTTTAGGTCCAGATCGTCTGCCCCCTCTATATACAGATACAATATATATGGTGCTTTATTCATTTTGATACCAAAGTTTATTTGCATGACATTTTAAACTGAACAATGGTCAAACACACTGATTGTGAGCTTTGATGAAGGACAGTTACATTGATTTGTAAATATTACCAGGGAAAATGTTCTGTTTATTGTCTTTCCTGCAAGAAAAGACAAGAAAAAAAGTGCTTATTGTGTTACTTTCCCATTGGCAACACACGAACACATCCATCATTTACAAAACATATTTATAATTTTATGCTCCAGCAACTATAAAATTAAGTGATATACATATGCTAAAAAGCTCGACTTCGAAGTTTTGCATTAAGATCAGCTTCCCATTACATTATAAGTACAAGTGCTATTCGAAAGATTCCTTAAAATTTCATCAATACACAGTGAATGTACCAGATATTTATATTTATATGCCTTCTTGATTTAACTGCACTGGTATAAAATATCTGTCAGTAAAAACATATCCATAAAATTGACATACCACAAGTCAGGTCTTTGGTTCTGTAATGTATATTGTGTATGTTGTCAATTACATGAAGCATTGTATGATTACTCATTCTGATAATATGTTTTCTTTCAGTCCAATTTGTTTTGATCTGTTAGAAGAGGCTCATATGACAAAATGTGGGCACACATTCTGGTAAGTTATTTTTAGTTATCTATTCTTTAAATAAAATCCCAAAGAAAATCGAGCCAAAACAGCTCATGATTTTGATCTTGTCTGTATAGTGTACTATGATAGCCAATGCAGATCCTTACCCGAGATGTTTGTGAAAGATCTAAGGTGTGTGGTTGATCCTTACACTGGATGGTATGTGGAAGATTAGAGGTGTATGGATACACTGGGTATATGTGAAAGATCGAAGGTATGTGGTTGATCCTTACACTGGATGGTATATGGCAGATCTGTAAATTTGTGGTTCAATCCTTACCCTGTGCGTTTGTAGATCTGAGGTGTATGGTTTGATCTTTACCCTAGATGATATATGGAAGATCAAAGGTGTGTGGTTAGATCCTATATGGTATATGGCAGATCTGATGTTTATGGTTTGATCTTTACCCTGTGTTTGTAGAAGACCTGAGGTAAATTGTTCAATCATTACCCTATGTGGTATGTGGTAGGTCAGAAGTGTATGTTTTGATCATTACCCTAGATGATATGTGGAAGACTAGAGGTGAGTGGATACCCTAGGTGTATGTGCAAGATCTGAGGTGAGGTTTGATCTTAATACTGGATGGTATATGGCAGATCTTAAGTGTATGTTTTGACTCTTATCGTGGGCAGTTTGTGGAAGATCGGAGCTGTATGATTCAATCCATAGCCAGGGTAGTAACTGGAAGATCTGAGGTGTATGGATTGATCCTTACTCTGGACAGTATGTGGAAGATCTGAGATGTATGAATTGATCCTTACTCTGGACAGTATGTGGAAGATCTGAGATGTATGAATTGATCCTTACTCTGGACAGTATGTGGAAGATCTGAGATGGTACCCCAGTATGCATTTGTTAGAAACTGAGATCACAGATCATCCTGTATCATGTTTATATCCTTGAGTATTTAAACTCATTACCATAATAGTCCTGGATAGTATGGTTGGTAAATATGACAGGCATCAGAGAGGCAGTCCTCAGCTACCCTGCATCAAATTGACATTTGCCTGTTTACTGGACAACAAAACCAACAAAAAACAAAGCTATGGTTTTGATGATATTGCAAACCACTGTGTTTTGTATCTTAAAAGCTTTTTACTGAATACTGTTCCAGAGCTGCAATTGTTTCTTTTGACACCAGAGATGATGGAGTGATATGTTCAGCCTAATGATATATTATCCTCTTATCTATTCATTCTTTTAACAGCCTTATTCAGTTACTCATTCTGCATACAATTATTCCAGAACTTCATGGTTCATCGATCATTGTAACATTAACATTCTTAATTAAAATAATGTAAAGCCCAGATATAGTTTGCTTTATATTCTAGCTGGATGTATGTATATGTAGATGTTGATTATCTAACTCTTTCTACAAGCCTTACATTTCATATGATAAATCTACGATTTATATCAATTGTAACTTGTTGGTATTTTATGCATCAGTAACAATGCTGATTTACAGATTGAGCTACATCCTAGTGTATTTAAATACATAAATAATGAAAGTATTTAAATAACTCCATGATATGCAGATGTTGTGAATGATTGTATCCGTATTCACTATCAATGAATCCATTTTTTTCATGTCTTAGCTACAAGTGTATCAAGCAAAGCCTAGAACAGAGTAATAGATGTCCAAAATGTAACTTTGTCATCGATAGTGTTCAGCAGCTTTTTCCAAATTTCACTGGTAAGTAAATCTATTTTTAGCTCTCTTGGGAGTGACTTTACTTTAACATCAACGTTTTCAAAAAAAATTTACAAATGACTCCCAAATAAACCTAATGACTTGAGAAATTTATGCTGAAACTCTAAAAACTCCAAATATTCAGTAAGTTTCCAAAAGGTACGACTGGATCCCTCAAACTGCACAACCATTATATTACGCTGTCAAGCCTTGGTCCCAATCTGTACATGGCATTTTTCTTGCTGGTTCAACCTTTCCAACCATTTCAGTCTCTTACGCAAAAGTGACCTTAAAAAGTTTTTAGTTTAAAGTGCTATCAGTTATGTGTGAAATGAGACCTTAAATGACTTTTAATGTCATGGAGGTCATGTATGTTAAAAATTTCACATTCTTTACAAGATTTACCGTAAGTATACTTGATTCCAGTAGTTTCCTATATATGTCCTTTTCATATGGCCATGGACTATAGTATGAAAAGATTACCAAGAGCTTTCAACAGTATATAAATCAATTATACTGCCAGAACTAATAGACATGCATTGACCTAATGTAATGATAATTCACAGCTTTACTAGACTTGCGTCATTGCATAGTTGACAAGCGGTGGAGGCCCTACACAGCTCTTGTTTATATATTTGGTGTGATTATGAATTCTACATTGAGAAATAAAATAGTGTTGGGATATATATACCTAATGCAGTGTCATTAAAACTATCTAATTCTACTGTAAATGTCAAACATTTCCCAGACTTCAATTGTCTGTCGCTGTCCATGTCATTAAAATAAAGGTGAAAGGTTTTCTGATGTAATAAATGTGCTGTTGAACGACTGATTATTTTGTTAAAAGAGAATGTTATTAAGATCAGATTCATAAGAAAACAACAATGTTCAGTGGATAACATCATGTTCAGGGACGAACTTTGCGTTAATGTGTATATTAGATATGGAATTTAAAATATCCGGTTACATTCAAAATTACGTTATTGGTATTTACCACACTTCTTGTCTCTATAACCAGCCCTATTGTGACTTGTACACAACATTATTCAATTGAGATATTTCCAATGTCACAGACATGGCTGATGGTTCAGAAGGTAGGTAAAAGTTTCTAATTGAGAGTATGAAATAGGTATGTTTTTGCATGTACATGTTTTTCATTTATTATGATATAATCTGGAAGCTGAGAAGTGGACAAATTTGGTTGGTTTCCTTTGACAAGTCACTGTCCTAATTGGTCTAATGACAAGAAATGGGCCTCCTGTATGTTGTTCATTGAGGTACCCATGAGCTATGAGGTAGCTATCAGCTACTGCAAGGAGACAGAAGGCAAAAAAAAAAAACCTAGCAAACAAACAAGAAACTTGTACAATCAGATTTTGTTCCCCAAAAATCTATAGGTTTTTGTGTAAGTACATGTAGATGTAATTACCATATAGAATTAGTTATTCCCCCCCCCCCCCCCCCCCCCCCCCCCCCCCTCCACGAAACACATTTGCGATGGATATTAGTTTGGGCTCTGTACATCCATTCATCCATGAATCTTTCTGAGAGCTTTTCCGGGTTTTTACTTCATAACTGTTTAACTGAACTTTACAAAACTTTCTTTATATATTAGGTCAGTGCCCTACATGTGCCTTTTTTTTTTTGTTTTAAAGTGATGTTTATTGTATGATGTTTTTTGTTCCATTAATTCTTGTTTGTATGCCTACAGTAAATGAACTGGTGCTGAAACACAGAGGAAGACAGGATGAAAAGAAGATGAAAATTGACCAACAGGTTTGTACTCTGATGTCAATATACACCTGAAAGTACATAAACCAGGTGTATAATTTCTGTATTTTAAATGTTTGGAATATGTCTTTATAGCAGAGTTCACCACAAGGTATTCATGATAAGGTTTTTGCCTTTAAGTAACAATTGAGCTTCTATTGTGGTGAAGCACCGATTATCACATCATTGTAATTATTACACTTCCATGTATGTGAAGTAGTGGAAGCAGCTGTTGAAAATCATTGTTTAATATAGAGATTAATGTCATCAAACTGATTTATTTGGTATATAGAAAAATCTTCCTGCTGCTGAAATGAAGTGAACATACATATTTTGAAGTATTACAACATATGAAAGTCATCAGGACTTTGGTGTTTACCTCTTGTCTCCATTGTGACATCAAAATAGGCGATATACCGTTATTTCATACCCTATTACACAATACATTACATTGATATATTCACTGATTTACACAACAATCACGTCATGAATAGAGTACTATTGTCTTTTTGTTGTAGTTAACTTTATTAATGTACATTGTGTACACATTTATTTAGACATAACAGCCTAATGGTGGTAGGTTTTGTACCCTCAGTAATGTTGCAGCTAAAAAACAATTTTTTTTTCCTACAGAACTCACCAGGAGGTGGCTCTGACCTCTGTGACCTTGTAACGGAAGACAGCCTTGACCTTCCTCATGTCAATCAGCTGCTGTCATTATTACACCACAAAAAACAGCTGTTAGAAGCAGTAAGTACTTGTAATATTTTCATTATCTTCAAGCAGCTTTTGCAGAATGGCTAAACATTAACGTCATCTAGAGGGAATTGATCATTAAGGGTAGCTGAGAGTCAGCAGGGGTTCATTGACCAAAGTGTTTTAGTTCTAAAAATGGATAACAAGGTTTGAATTATTTGGTGTGGGGCATCGTCAGGAAGTGTAGATTTAGATCAGAAAGACGAAGCTTCAAATGCCTAGTTGGTTTTTTTATCTCTGAAAGTAAAATTTAGCTAAACATACCTTCAATGGATTACTTCTATAGACAGCGCATTCACAATCAAGACAGAAAACATTTTAAAGCCTGTTGAAAAGTGTGTACATTTACTTACAGGATGGTACGCTGGCACAAAATCTTATTCTGAAAGAATTTTTACAACAAATTCGTTTAAAGAAACAGGAGGTAAGTGCATCATATAAGTTCTCAACCTTGGAATGATTATATGAAGTTGGGTAATGTCAAGGGTATTTTCTGCATTCTATAACTTTGACTTATTCAATGTACAAAACTTGCACTGCATAGATAGTTGATAAATGAAATGTGCAAAATAACATCATATTCGTAGCAAATTATATTCGGATCCAGGCTGATCTTTTTCATTATCTAAACTGATCCCTTTGCCTACCTAAACCAGCTAAATGTTGATGTCCACTACATGGTTGGTTTGTGGAAGTGCCCACTGTAAATCTTTTGATGTTATTTTAGCTAAGAAAATGGACAGAAGTGAAGAACTTATTTAAATTTTTTGTAGACAATTTTATTATTCTGTATGAATTTGTTTTCAGCAAATAGACCAGTTAACTAGAGAACTTGCAGTTATTGACGAAGATACAAAAAAAGTGGAGGTGAGTGATCTCCCTTGACCAGTGAAAGCAAGTATTGGGACTGGAGGGAGGGGATGAAATACCAGGTTTTATTCCTAAACTTAACTGATGCTGACCTAAATCAACATATGTTTTTTTTTCTCTTGATATGTGAAAGGTTAATGTGAGTTATTTTTGAGGGGCTTCTTTAACATTTAATTTGGATTATGCTATGACTTTAATGCATTTGATAGTGGGGAATTCAATGTTTTTTATAGTGGGGACTAATGTTTTTTATAGTGGGGACTTCAATGTTTTTTATAGTGGGAACTAATGCTTTTTATAGTGTGGACTAATGTTTTTTATAGTGGGGACTTCAATGTTTTTTATAGTGGGAACTAATGCTTTTTATAGTGTGGACTAATGTTTTTTATAGTGGGGACTTCAATGTTTTAGATGTTGGATAATTTGTAGCTTGTTCTGTAATTTTCACTAATAGCAAATATATGTCACTATTGAGAATTTCCAGGATCAGCATTTTGCCAACAGATTAACAAGTAACCTTAATCAAAATGCTCTGCTGAATAGAAAGTTCAATCAATATATATGAAATTTGACTATTGTACTTATTGCACATATTAAGGGTCACTAATTTGATCTGTTTTCACTATAATCTTATCGCAAACCCCTCACACTACTTTCCATCTTGGTATATATAGGTTATACTAAAGCTGAAAAGTCCTGTTCATTTATAACCATTTTGTACACTACACCGGTCATTTGTCATTTGAAGGTGACAATGTAGTCATCAAAATGCAAAATTTTCTAAGTGGATGTGATTAAAAAAAATTCATTAGTGATATCATTGCCAACCTGAAGAAATTATCTGAAACATGTTCTTGAAGTTCTAAACTTGCTACATCCTTACACTTGACAAATTGAACGTTTTCTTACCTCAAAATTTTGTGGACCTAATACTATATACAGTATTTATAATCAGATGAGTGTGATAGTCTGTTATTGTTCAGAGTATGTATTGATTGTTTCAACAGATGATGATCTCAGAACACAGAAGGAAATATCCGTTTACTCCTGTAAGTATTTGTATTACTCTCCATATCATTTTGTCATAAAAGTGAAAAATTCTTGTTTTCTGTCAATTTTGTTGTTAGAAATGTAGTTTGATTAAATTCAGATCAATGCAGTTATAATATAATCCTAACTGTATCAAGGCTGTGTCTACAATTGAAGACTGCTTAACATCTCTGTCTTAGATGGTTGAGATTATTAGAAAGTACATTGGAATTACAGTATGTCCATTGCACCACCTGTAAACAGAAGTTTTTCTGGAGCAATACTGCTTCCACTCTCAACCACATAGATTAAATTTACTCACACTATCAGTTTTAAGTCTGTTTTGCTCTGATACCCATTTACAGATCCATATACGTTTCTGTTCGAATTTGAATATAACGTCTCCGTAGCATTCCAGCAGTATTTCCTTAGCATTTACATCATACTACCATACCATTCTTGCAGTGTTTCAGTATCATTTCAGTAGCATTTCCATAAGTACTTGCATCTACAGGCTCCTACTCAAATATCAGAAACATATTTTAGTAATAAATCTATAAAATGACTTATATTTGATGTAATTGGTCTATTTCCAAAATAGCAATAGCAACAACTATATATATATATATATATATACACCTGTCAGCTGTGTGTCACATCCGTTAAGACATAATGTTCACCTGTTGACATGAAATCTGTAGTAGACCATCTCTTACATGTAAACTCAACTACAAATCAAATTTGTATTGTATCATAAGAATAGCCGAATGTGTGGACTCTAATTATTATATTCTACATGACCGAATAATCTTCTAAAATCAAAACACATTCCAATTCTATTAAAATCAGATTACTTTCCCCTTGATTTAAGGCATTATCCATAACACTTGATACCATTTCTATCTTACTACTGTAACTTTTGCATATCTTTAGTGTAGCATTACCATTGCACTTCCATAGTGTTTGTGTCTAAGATGGAACAGCAAACACGTACGGGTCTGTATAAAGTTTATTCGGAGTGATATGATCAAATTATCCTGATCAGTACATATAATAAAAGTGTACTTTGAATTATTGTCTTGTTATTATAATGGACCAGAAGACAAATAAAGTTTTACGTTTCTTTGTTTATTTTTACAGGACCATCTGGTGCCTAATGGTTTTGATCCCTCCATATCCTCTAACTCTGATATGGGCAGTCAAGAAGGTTTTAACGGCAGCAAAAACGTGAGTAGTTCTCTCTACTCCTCCTTGTCGTACCTATAAGTCAAAGATTTTAATGGTAGCAGAAACTTGAGTAATTCTCTTCACTTGTCCTTATTGTACCTCACTCTGATGTAGAAAGATTTTAATGGCAGCGATAACATGATTGTCTCCATTCTTCATTGTTGTATCTGACTGGTGCTGGTGTAGAAAGTGAAGAAGGTTTTAATAGTAGTAAAAACATGAGTAATTGTCTCCACACATTATCATATCTCTGTCTTATGTAGAGAGTCAAAAGTTTTTATGGCTGGAAAAACATGAGTAATATTCTCCACTCTGTGTTCAGTATCTTACTCTGTTGTAGAAAGTCAATAGAGTTTTATTGGCAGTAAAAACTTCTCTTCACTCGTCATTGTGTCTCACTCTGATGTAGAAAGTCAAGAAGATTTTAATGGCAGTACAAAGTGAGAAATTTTCTCCATTCCTCATTGTTGTATCTCACTCTGTTGTACAAGTTTGGAAAGATTACAACAAACGCTTGTGAATTAAGATGACAAACAAAATTAGTTTTCATTATTTTTTTTTTTAATTTTTGGTCAATGGGACTAGAAGTCCTGCTGTAGTGTATACTGGGAGCTATTGACATGATGTTTATCTGATCAAATGACATGGTATGGTTTTAACATAAAAATGTAACCTCAAACATAATGACAAACTCATTCAAAACTGTTTCACCTACAGGCTGGCAAGTGGTTAAGTACAACGATGGCAGCGAGGAAGAAGAAGGTCAGTCAACACTTTGATGATCTGGAGCAGTGCTACTTCTCTGTGAGACAGAGAGAAATACTTAGTAAGTTTACAACATCAGGGACCCTAAAAAAGTCAACATTTCATATGTAGACTCCCCTTTGTCTCTGGTTGTGCATCTTTAATTTTGGGACTGATTGTTGCAGCAAAGTGGTCGACAGGCAGTCATATTAAATTTTGAATGATGAAGTTTGATATACCTATTTCTTGAAACTGAAAGTACTGAATGGGTCGTTCTACAATTTCAAGGTAGATTTCCTTATATCTTTTGTTGTGCCTGTTCAAATTTTAGGACAGAAGAAAAAAATGCAATATTTGACAAGTGGCTGTATTGGATTTCCGAACTTGGTGTTTGTTATCACTTTTCTTGAAGAAAAAGTTGAAGAATCTTTCTCAAATTTCAATTGCGGATCCCCCTCATTTTCTGGCTTGGTTTGTTCAATTTTCAGATTGATCAGGGGGAAAAATAGATCTTTATCAAATCTTAGATATGAACTCTCAAAGGCCTAAGTTGTGCTTGATGAATTTTCAGACTGACAAAAAAATCAACATGGAGAACAGGCACGCGTATTGGATTTGAAAGTTGATGATTGTTATCCTTATTTCTGGAGAAGTACCAAATGGATCTTTCTTAAATTTCATATGTAAATTCCTCTTATTAATCGTTGTCTGTCCGGTATGATAAGAATAACAAAACAGATGGTAGGTCTCGGTTTATAACAGTTCAAATTGATTATGCTCTCTCTCTCAAGAAGTTCTGGATGAATCAATTTCAAAGAGAGAAAGGATCCAACTGATCAAAAAACCGTAAATGTCCTACAAAGTTGGGCACAATGATCCCCTGGGATCTCTTGTTTATCTTGTTTTTACCTTGTAATCTTGTATTGTGAAAATACTCACCTTTATGATGGTCATTGTTAAACATTCTGTTCCTTTTACTAGCTGGTGGAGAGAATAAAGATGGACTAGGAGAGTTTACAGAAAGTCTTTCAAAGTTCACCAGATTTAGCTCATTCAGACCACTGGCCACTCTCAGCTATGCCAGTGACTTCTATAGTGGCTCCAGTATAGTATCCAGGTACACTTTAATTCATAGCAACACGTCTTACAGTATAGTATCCAGGGACAATTATGTTAATAGCAACAAGTCTTACAGTATGTTATCCTGGTACACTTTAAAATTGATAACAACATGTCTTACAGTTTAGTATCCAGTGACACTTTTATTGATAGTAACATCTTGTACATCAGTGACTGCGAATTGGTTACAACATATTGCAGGAAAATCATGATGATGGCTTGGAAGAAAAATTCTTATATACTTTTTCCTCATGATATATATGGTGTGTTCGCATGTGCATTGTCATAATTAGTAATTGAAGTAAGTGTATTTTCTTCAATTGTGCTTGCTTTTCCAAGGGATGACTTGTCAAAGTCAATAAAACTGGGAATTATTTGTAAAATTCTGTCACTGTAGTGTTTAGTAAATATTCGCGAATCTGAAGCTCTGAAGATTTGTTATCGTTTGGTTTAGGTGTTTTTAAGATGGAATGATAGATATTTGTTTGAGTGAAGAAAACTATAATTTCTATCTATCAGTTATTGCAGCGCTTTAGATACATTCATTTTATGGATTCCTACAGTTATGAATACATCTATTTTTGTTTCAGTATTGAGTTTGACCGAGACTGTGATTATTTTGCTATAGCAGGTGTTACAAAGCGTATTAAGGTAAGAAAAATTAATTTCTCTATACCTATCGAAATGTTACGATAGGTAAAAATATTAGAACCTTGTAAAGTTACGGTTATTGAATAGAGCACATGCTTTGCCTCTATGTGATTCTTATTGAAGGCAACATGAATTACATTTTGTGTTTGCGATACCTTGTTAACTTGTTGAACAATATACCCTCCTGTAGGGCTGTGTTAGAGTAAAGCATTCATAGTTCTTGCAGAAGAGCTATAAAGTTATATTGTAGTTTATTGTAATGGATAGTATTAAATTCCCAGACACTTATTACCTTCAGGAGATAAATCTGTTTATTTACAGGTGTTTGAATACTGCAATGTTATAAAGGATGTGGTGGACATTCACTACCCAGTCAATGAGATGGTGTGCAACTCCAAAATCAGGTAATGTCTCCATATCCCAACTCCAAAATCAGGTAACGTCTACATATCCCAACTCCAAAATCAGGTAACGTCTACATATCCCAACTCCAAAATCAGGTAACGTCTACATATCCCAACTCCAAAATCAGGTAACGTCTACATATCCCAACTCCAAAATCAGGTAAAGTCTATATGTATGAGGGCTGATGGATAAGTTGTGAGTCTTATATTTAAAGGTTTGTCTTTTGGGGACATATTGCATTATTTTTCAACATAATCCCCTTCAGTATCTACACACTTTTGCGAGCAATGAACTCAAAGTACCATCACATAATCTTTAGCTGAAAGTAAGGATATGAGTTTATCACAGAGCATTTTTATAACAAGTGTTTGTATTTCTCCTGAATAGATGTGGGAAGGCTTAGGTAATAACAGATCTGGGCTTAATGTTTGAAAAATTCAGTAGTGGTTAGTGTAATCTCCATTGACAAGAGTTGTTAGGATTGATTTAATCAGACCTACATACATGTATGATGGTGTTGTTCTCATGATACTTTACAGCTGTGTAACTTGGAGCGCGTATCACAAGAACATGCTGGCCAGTTCTGACTATGAGGGCACCATTACCTTGTGGGATGCTTTCTCGGGCCAAAAGTCCAAGATCTTCCAGGTAAGGTGCAATCAAATCACTATGGCTGTAGGGGATTATTGACCTGTACTGTGTACAGTAGTACTTAATTTACTGTGGTGAGATTTTAGCACCTCATCCAAATGTTATAGATTATCACATTAGTAAATTGACATGTCCACATTTGATGTAATAGGGAACAAAATCTCCGTTTATCACAATACTAGAGTAATGTTTCAGGTAACTACTGAAAATATACACATTATAAACACATTTTAATAAGGCTACTTCTAAAATACAGTTTGAAGACGGAAAAAAGGAGTTTTCAAGTGACAAGGAAAGCTAGAAATATATGAAGGATGGTCATTGTATACAGGATATAGGACATTATAGTGAAGTGATTCTTTACTGAATAATTAGCTTTGTAGCAGTGTCATAGACAAAGGTACATAAATGTTTATGACTTACAGATAACAGTATTGTCAGATTTAATATCAATTACATCATCTTTCTGGTGATTAGATGTGGTTATTGATTAAGTATGCAGTCTTCAGATATTTAGACTGTGTAAAGCATTCTATCATAATATCATTGTAGCACCTACCTTGAAATAATCTCTTTCTTATTTTATAGGAACATGAAAAACGTTGCTGGAGTGTTGATTTCAACAGAATGGATCCTAAGCTACTAGCGTCTGGATCAGATGACGCCAAAGGTTAGATGTGATTCAGAATATTAAAAAAATGTTTGCCTTTACTCAAGAGTTCTGATTGGACATAGCATCGATGCTCTCTATGTGCCAGTCCGTCTGTTGAGAACATATCACATAAAGCAGAGGGAGTCAAACTGGATAATATTCTCTTCATTAGTAGAAGACTCCTTTTGATTTTCAGAGTCAAAGGTCAAGGTTACATTTTGGTGATTATATAACAAGGATGACTCCAGGTAACATGTATGTTGCACAAGGATACTCTATAAAGTATGATATTGAAAACTTCAAGGCCAGCAGTAGAACTTTGTTATTGGTGAGTTTGGCTGTGCTGACAAAGCATTACACAGGGAAAACAAATTTAACCAGTATAATTTGTATAAAACTCAGAATTGATACTATGAGAGTATTTATCAGTAATTTCTTCATCATTGTCATATTTATTTTATTAGAGTAATGCTTGATTGAAATGATGTTAAGAAGTTCTATAATTGACACATGGTGTTTTTTTTCTGTTCACAGTGAAGTTGTGGTCCACCAGTGCTGAACACTCTATAGCAAGTTTAGAGGCAAAAGCTAATGTGTGCTGTGTCAAGTTCAACCCTGAGAGTCGCTACCATTTGGCTTTTGGTTCTGCAGGTATGACCTTTTTAGTAATTGTAGTAAACCCAATTGATGTATTTTAAGTTCACATATCTTCCTGTCATATTTAGGTCTTATATTTTGTTCATCTGCAAAACCTCAACCTTCAAAACAAAGATATGTAACAACAGATATCGTGTGGTAAAAATCAGTGTTATTTTCTTTAGATAGAGATGTAGTTTTGTAAAGGTAGGATATGGTTAATGAATAGAGGGACAAGGTGGTTGAGTGGTTAAGGCTTCTGACCATCTTCATCACAAGCTCTCCACTTTGTGTGGTGGGTATGGAGGCCTGTATGGGGCAGTCGCAATGTACTGGTCGCAGGTCATTAAGTTTTCTCTGGGAACTCCAGCTTTCCTAAATCACCCAAACCTGGCATGTCCTTATATGACCCTGGCTGTTAACAGGACATAAAGCAGTAATAAATTTAACTAAATTTGTGAAGATATTATTAAACACCTTTACATCCAGAAAGTATAGTGAGTTGATTAAAATAAAAACGGTGTGATATTGATAAGAAAGTGAACATTACTGGGGCTGTTCTTATGTACACTAACTTCATCTATGTGTAAAACCTAGGTTATGTCAATCAACGGCTTGTCATGGTCTCCTGTGAAACATAACCTTCAAATTCTCTTTGTGTACAATATATATGCGAGGAATGTTTTTCTCTTTCCAGATCATTGTGTACACTACTACGACCTTCGGAACACTAAACAAGCTGTGATGATCTTCAAAGGTCACAGAAAGGCTGTGTCCTATACAAAATTTTTAAACACCAAAGAAATAGTATCAGCGTAAGTGTGACCACATTTACTTTTATAGATTGTCAAACCCAGCTACCAGTGAATATTTTGTATAGATATGATATAATTAGCACAGTTAGAAGCAGCTTGTTTTTTAGATGTAAAGCTTATTTCTTCAGCATTTACATTGGAAGTCCTCACAGGTTCGTCTCCCAAACAATAAGTTGTCTTCACATACGATATGTTGATCTTGATATTGTCAACTCATCGTAACATAGATAGAGAACTTCTATAAAAGATGTATTTTTATATAGAGTTGTTCTGTTTTATCCTATTTTCAGATCCACAGACAGTCAACTAAAACTATGGAATATCAAGAAGCCTACTAATTTACAGACCTTTAAGGGGCACATTAATGAGAAAAACTTTGTGGGCTTGGCTACTGATGGAGATTATGTTGCTTGTGGTAGGTTTACTTTGATTGGACATCTTTTCAAAAGTTCATATTCAGTCCTGGCTAAGTATTGATTGCATGATGGTACAAATTGGACTATCCAGGAAATTCAAGTAATCTGCCATATTACTATGTTCACAAAATGACATGCAGAACTTGTCCTGTCCGTTCACCCATCCATATCTCTCTCTGTTCATCTGATCATCTGTCTAACCATCTAAATAGAAGCTTTGGAGAAAAAATAAAGAGAAAATGTCTATAGGACATGAAGACAGAAATGAAGTTAATAGAGTGATGAAAGGGATTTTGGGATAGCACAGGATAGGACAATGTAACACTATATGTCACTAGAATCAAAACATTAAGTACAGAGCAGATTTAATGTAGTTTTGTATTTTCTTCTTTTAGGAAGCGAGAATAATTCCCTCTATGTGTATTATAAAGGCCTGTCTAAACAGCTGCTCACATTTAAGTTTGACACAGTCCGCAGTGCTTTGGTAAGTTTGACACAGTCTGCAGTACTTAGGTAATTCACACCCTCTGAAGTAACAGCTTTACCAACTACAACACTACCAAATTTGTCTGTGGATTCAAACAATAAGTAAAATGAATCAAAGTTAATTTATAATCTGTTCTATGATTGAAGGTTATAAAACATTAATTGTCACTTGATTAGGGCACTTGTTAACCTACATATTAGTTTGTTATCACTCATTAGTGTTCATTTGTATCTTTTGCAGGAGAAGGATAAGAAAGAAGAGGAGATCAATGAGTTTGTTAGTGCTGTTGCCTGGCGACCAGTAAGTTATCCTTTTTTATCACCTTTATATAACGTGAGAATGTGCACAGTGTTCCCTCTAAAACATGACCATCCATTGTCTGGACTGCTATTTGATTTCTATTGTCATCTTTCTAATTGTAAAAGAAATGAGTTATTTCCCTTGTTTATATCAAACTTTGGTGATATCACACCTAACATGTTTTTGTCTAGGTATCCCATAGCTGATATATACTTTTCTATTTTCAGGGCTCCAATGTGATAGTAGCAGCCAACAGTCAGGGAACAGTTAAAGTAAGTCACAAGATAAACCAGGTTTACAGGTTTAGAGACTTGACTTATAAAAAATTATCCTAACTTCAAGCAATACTCAGTACACATTAAAGAAGTATTTGCAAGGTTAAGCCTCTTTTTTTATGAAAATTCAACTATTTTCTATAAATATAGAAACAGTTATATACCTTAGACATATTTTCCAGTTTAAAAAATTACCAATGATGAAATAAGTATTGTTAGAATCAAGGTTAAGTAATCTGTAAAGAAGATTTATGCTCTTAAACTTAGTCAATGATGCAATTAAGTGAAACCGATATTTGGAAATAGTTATTAATCTGAAAAATACTGCTCATTTGTGTAAAAGTGATTTTGACTTTTTTTTGTTTCTCTTATTAGCACCCTAGATAGAGGAATTTTTTCGTATCATGAAATTAAAAATTCATAGTTGTATAATTATGTATACCTCTCCTAAGTTCAAAGGCAATTATTGTCTTTTCAAGCAAAATGTATTTTTAGGTCATCTGACCTGAAGGGTTAATATGACCTAATTCTATTTTGCGCTGTCTGTTGTCGCCAGACTTTCTTAAATTTTCCTATAAATCACTTCTTCTGCTTAAAACCCTTATTAACATTATTTATATGTTGATATAATAGTATTCAATTGATCTTTTATTTTTCAGGTGCTAGAATTAGTGTGACAAATGCTGTCATAGTTTATGTGGGACAATCAACAATTCAAGATAGTGTTAACTGGATCTAGTGTCCCAACAGAAGCAAGGGTATGATTGGACGTAACTAAATATTGTATGCTGAAAGGACAGTATTAGTGACAACTAAATATTGTATGTCGGAAGGGTAGGCTTGGTGGCAAATAGATCTTGTATGCTGAAAGGAAAGGATAAGTGACAGCTAAATGTTGTATGCTGAAAGGAGGGGATTAGTGACAACTTAATGTTGTATGCTGGAAGGAGAGGACTGATGACAACTAGATGTTGTATGCTGGAAGAACAGGATTAGTGACAACTAGATGTTGGAAGGACAAAATTAATGACAACTAGATGTTGGAAGGACAGGATTAATGACAACTAGATGTATGCTTAAGGGAGAGGATTGCTGACAACTAAATGTTGTTTGCTGGAAGGAGAGGACTGATGACAACTAAATGTTGTATCCTGGAAGGAGAGGACTGATGACAACTTAATGTTGTTTGCTGGAAGGAGAGGATTGCTGACAGCTAAATGTTGTTTGCTGGAAGGAGAGGATTGCTGACAGCTAAATGTTGTTTGCTGGAAGGAGAGGACTGGTGACAACGAAATGTTGTATTCTGGAAGGATAGGATTAGTGACAACTAGTTGTGAACACTGTATTCAGCTGTAACAGTAACAAGATTGATTGGAACTAGTTGTAGTTTCTGGAAGGGCAGGATTCAAGACATCTAGATGTGTACTGGTATACTGAGGGCAGTTGTAGGATTGACATGTTTGATGACAGCCAGATGTTGTACGTGGAAAGCATAGGAATGACACCAAGATGTTGTATATTGAAGTTAGTTTTTAAAAGAAATAGGACTAAAACAAACTAGATGTTGTACATTGGAATCATTTCTACCAAGGCAAACCTAATAATATCTAGACTGATTTATTCAGTAAGTGAAAAAACAGGATTAACAAAGAATTGTCAATCCTGAAAGGACAGCATCATTGACAACCAAATGTTGGATACTTACGTCTGTGATAACAAGGAGAACTGGAGGAGTAAACAATTTATCTGTGGGTAGACAAATCACGTAATTAATATTCAGTCTGACAGCGGGTAGACAACCAGAAAAAGTCTGTGCTTTATAAAGACATTTAATGGTACTTTTTTATTGTTATAATATTGCCAAATTTAAGTGTTGACATGACAAGTTAAAATTCACCTGAAAGTAGTACTGTACTACACAGAATGTAAGGTGTGTGATATAGTATGTTGTGTTTGTGAGATGAATACATTTATTAATCATTTATGCAGAAGTGATACGTTATATACTTTAAGGTGAAAGTGGTTTTGGGGAGGGACGTGTTACTGGTTTATTTTATGAAATAACCCTATATATATTGTATATTAGTTAAGAGTTTATAAAGCATACAAATTGATGAAAACCTGTTGACGAGAAGAGCATAGTAAGTGTCTGTGGTATTGAGAGTTTAGCTACGTGACACTCTTTATAAGTTTTTAAGGTTAACAAATTAAAACCTTTCATATGTGAGTAGTTTCTTTTTTCTCAATAGAAATTTTTAATTTTTACATCAATTCATATTTCAGAACCACTTGTGACCAGACATTGAAAAAGATGTGTTTTATACAGAGGTGACTTTTGATATGGTTTGATGTATCATATGGTCACAATATTTTACTGTAGACCAACATTCTTTCACATGCATCCAACGTTCTTTCACATGCATTTCATTTTCATGACTTTTCAGTTGAGAAGCAAAATTACAAAACTTAATGATAGTGAATTAACATGGAAAATAAAATTAATATTTTCATGGTTCAATCTTGTTGATTAATGATAAAAAAATTTTTTTAACTTAATGTACAATTTATTCTGAATCCTCCTGTTCTGAATAATATGTAGCTAAAATTCTTAGCACATTTGGTAAATCTGTTATTTCATGGTCAAGAATTAATTTAGTAAAGATTTTAATTCATTGCCTGGGTCACCTGTATATGAAGCCGTACACACTTTAAGGTGACTGTGATCAACCTTCTCATTGGTAATGAAACAAGCTTGTGACACCGAATTAATTTTAAAGCTAATGAGACTGGTTGATTTATAGGGGTATTGTACCAAATTTTTTTATTCCTGAAGTGTCAAAAAGTTGCTCCAGTCTATGAAAAGTCATTAAGTGATCCATGTCCTTCACCTATCCGTGGGCAAGCTTAAATGTCATGGCAAAATTAACAACCATACATGGGGCTCCAAACAGGGTTTGCGCCCTTCAAATTTACAATTATCATAGTGGTTCAGAATTCATGAATGTAAATCATAGCAATCTGGTATTGCTGAAATCGCAAGGGTTGCCACAAAAGAATGTTGGTTTACAGTTGAATACTTGCTGATATTTATGTAAGAAATTTACACAACCATTTTGTAATATCAAAACGTTTATTTAGATAGGAGGTCACAACAGATGTATGTTTAAATGTTGCATTTTCTAAAGCTCTCTCCAAGAAATCTGTCTGTTTATTGACATATAACTGATCTATGTTGTAATGAGGAAAACAGTTAACATTTTAACACTCTTCACCATATGAAAACCTCATTTTAATTGAATAAGACTATATAGGGCATGATTAACACAAAAGTAGACAGTTCTTTAAACTCTTAATTCAGTTGTTTGTGCCAATGTCAATCAGTATTCACTGTCCCTGCAGTGATATTTGTTAATAACATTGGCAAACATACAACAATTCTGATTTCAAAGGCTGATGAGTGTATGGAATGAAGCTGGAGAGTTGTGTATCTGTGATCCCAGCATCTACTGGAATGTTGTACTATTAGACCACCCGTGTTCTGATCTCCAAGTGATGTAGGAGACCGTGATAATGTCTCTCGAGGTAGTTTGATATACCAACTGTGTTACTGTTCCTAATTGAGTTTATATTTTGTTATACCTGATGTAGTTAGTACAGAAAATTATTGTACATTGTTACAAGCCAGTGATTTCTTGTTTCAGTATATCATATTATGTGTTTATAAAGAGTCTAAAAAGGTCAGTGGAGGCAGTAGTAGCTAGAAAACTACACAGGTTTTGGAATGGTATTTACACCAACTCATGTTTATTGAAATGAAATGAAGTTGCATTTATGTTTCTACTTATGAATTGTTCATCAAGTTTGTAAAATGCGTCGTGTATTTGTATGTAAAAGTGCTAGGTGTTAGAAGGTACCAGTGAACATGTGTTGGAGAGTGCTTATGCTATGTGTGTTAAATCGTTAATGTTAGAAAGTGACAGTGTATTGTGTTGGAGGACACTAGTATTATATGTTGGAGAATACTTGTCATGTGTTTTGGGGGACACTAATGTCATGAGATAGAGGGTACTAGTGTTATGTGTTGGAGAATACTAGTGTCATGTGATGTAGGTACCTGTGTCATGTGTTGTGAAGATACCAGTGTCATGTGATGGAGGGTACCAGTGTCATGTGTTGGAGGACACTAGTATTATGTGTTGAAGAATACTGGTATCATGTGATGGAGGGTACCTGTGTCATGTGTTGGGAAGGTACCAGTGTCAGGTGACGGAGGGTGCCATTGTCATGTGTTGGGATGGTACCTGTGTCATGTGATGGAGGGTACCAGTGTCATGTGATGGAGGGTACCAGTGTCATGTGTTGGAAGGGTACTAGTGTCATGTGATGAAGGGTACCATTGTCATGTGATGGAGGATACCAGCATCATGTAATGGAGGATACCAGTGTCATATGTTGGGAAGGTACCAGTGTCATGTGTTGGGAAGGTACCAGTGTCATGTGATGGAGGGTACCAGTATCATGTGATGAAGGGTACCATTGTCATGTGATGGAGGGTACCAGTGTCATGTGATGGAGGATACCAGCGTCATGTAATGGAGGATACCAGTGTTGTGTGTTGAGAATGGTACCAGTGTCATGCGTAAGAGTGTAACATTGTCTGGTGTTAGTGTGTACCAGTGTCTGGTGTTAGTGTGGACCAGTGTCTGGTGTTGGAGTGTACCAGTGTCTGGTGTTAGAGTGTACCAGCGTCTGGTGTTAGTGTGTACCAGTGTCTGGTGTTAGAGTGTACCAGTGTCTGGTGTTGGAGTGTACCAGTGTCTGGTGTTAGAGTGTACCAGTGTCTGGTGTTAGTGTGTACCAGTGTCTGGTGTTAGAGTGTACCAGTGTCTGGTGTTAGAGTGTACCAGTGTCTGGTGTTGGAGTGTACCAGTGTCTGGTGTTAGAGTGTACCAGCGTCTGGTGTTAGTGTGTACCAGTGTCTGGTGTTAGAGTGTACCAGCGTCTGGTGTTAGTGTATTGGTTATGAGATGTGATATTCGCCTGTGTGTTTTGGTGTGTTTAAGTGAGGATGGATCATTATTACAACATAGTTAGTCTTATTTGTGTGATATATTCCTATATTTTTATTTAGGAGTCCTTACAGAGATACCTATTCTGGCAGATTTTTCTTGAGTGAAAATCAGATTTTTCTGTATTTAAGCTAGACTATACAGTTTAACTGTGGGAACTTTTTTCCTTAACAACACCAAATTTCTATGAAACCTGGTGTTTATATGTGAACATATTTGTAAGTTATCCTTTCTCTATTTCAACTTCTGTGATATTGTTTGTTTTCATGGTCAAGTAATAAAAGAACAAGTCAATATCAGAGAAATATATTAATTACCAAATAATACATATTTCACAATGTATAACACTTACCATGTTGGGTGCCAGATGTTGGGTACCAGATGTTGTAAACCCTGATACCTGATGTTGGGTACCAGATGTTGTAAACCCTGATACCTGATGCTGGGTACCTGATGTTGGGTACCCTGATACCTGATGTTGGGTACCTGATGTTGTAAACCCTGATACCTGATGTTGGGTACCAGATGTTGTAAACCCTGATACCTGATGCTGGGTACCTGTTATTGTGTACCCTGATACCAGATGTTGGGTACCTGATGTTGTAAACCCTGATACCTGATGTTGGTTACCTGATGTTGTGTACTCTGATACCAGATGTTGGGTAACAGATGTTGTGTACCCTGATACCTGATGTTGGGTACCTGATGTTGTGTACCCTGATACCTGATGTTGGGTACCCTGATACCTGATGCTGGGTACCTGATGTTGGGTACCCTGATACCTGATGTTGGGTACCTGATGTTGTGTACCCTGATACCTGATGTTGTGTACCCTGATACCTGATGTTGGGTACCTGATGTTGTAAACCCTGATACCTGATGTTGGGTACCTGATGTTGTAAACCCTGATACCTGATGTTGGGTACCTGATGTTGTGTACCCTGATACCTGATGTTGGGTACCCTGATACCTGATGCTGGGTACCTGATGTTGGGTACCCTGATACCTGATGTTGGGTACCTGATGTTGTGTACTCTGATACCAGATGTTGGGTACCAGATGTTGTGTACCCTGATACCTGATGTTGGGTACCTGATGTTGTGTACCCTGATACCTGATGTTGGGTACCTGATGTTGTGTACCCTGATACCTGATGTTGGGTACCTGATGTTGTGTACCCTGATACCTGATGTTGGGTACCTGATGTTGTAAACCCTGATACCTGATGTTGGGTACCTGATGTTGTAAACCCTGATACCTGATGTTGGGTACCTGATGTTGTGTACCCTGATACCTGATGTTTGGTACCCTGATACCTGATGCTGGGTACCTGATGTTGGTACCCTGATACCTGATGTTGGGTACCTGATGTTGTGTACCCTAATACCTGATGTTGGGTACCTGTTATTGTGTACCCTGATACCAGATGTTGGGTACCTGTTATTGTGTACCCTGATACCTGATGTTGGGTACCTGTTATTGTGTACCCTGATACCTGATGTTGGGTACCTGTTATTGTGTACCCTGATACCAGATGTTGGGTACCTGTTATTGTGTACCCTGATACCTGATGTTGGGTACCTGATGTTGTGTACCCTGACACCAGATGTTGGGTACCTGTTATTGTGTACCCTGATACCAGATGTTGGGTACCTGATACCTGATGTTGGGTGCCTAAAGCGTGGTACAAGATGTTTGGTATATTAAGAAGGGGTACCAGATGTTGGTACCTGATACCTGATGTTGGGTGCTTAAAATGTGGTACCAGATGGTGGGTACATTAAGAAGGGTACCGGATGTTGGGTACATTAAGAAGGGGTACCAGATGTTGGGTACATTAAGAAGGGTACCAGATGTTAGGTACATTTAGTAGGGTACCAGATGTTGGGTACCTTATGTAGGGTCCTAGATGTTGGGTACCTTATGTAGGGTCCTAGATGTTAGGTGTCAGTGAACTGTCTTCCATATTGTTATTTGTTATGTAAGTTTTGCCAGTACTGCCTCCTGATGAATTTGTTCACCTGAAATAGTGCTTTTCTATTGTGACTGAAAAACAAATCTTAGAATAAGGTTAACAGCAAGAAGGCCACTGTAGGGTACAGACGAGGTCAGTTATCAATATTCATTGGAATCAGTCACTTTATACATCTTCTGTTAAAGGTTGGACACTGTTGTCTATGTATCAATCGGGTTGTGATACCACGACATTTACTCAGAGACTTTTCTGATGTTGGGAATCGGGTGGTGGGAACACTCAACTCTTATAATCGACAATATTAAAGTTTGAATTCTTTAATTTTTAAAAATAGTATACTTTATGTACAGGTATGACACTTGTCTTGTAATTTTGATTTGAACCAGAAAGTTTACAAAATGATGTTTATGTGATTATCACGGGATGGTGGGCATTACTTAATGGTCCTCACAGACATCCAGTGCTGAATAGTCACTCCAATATTACAGCTTTCAAGCACTGAATACAATGGAATCTTTTTATAAAGAAGGCAGTTAATGTCTTCAGTAAACGATTTTGAGGAAAAGAAATATGTAATAAAGAAAAAGAAATAAAGATAATGTCTTATTGTCTTTTAAAGTCATGGATAGACCTTGACTTCAAAATGGTATAATAATTGATAATTCACCTTCATTATAATGCAGTGACATCAGCTATGTAAGCCTTAGACTCGACAAAGTTTTATCAGTCTCTCGCACTGATTTGACATCATAACCTGTCTCTTATACCCAATAACCATCACATAAGTCTCTGTCACATCCAATCACCACCACAACAAATCTCTGTCACACCCAGTCACCAGCACAACCAGCCTATCACAACCAGTCATGTCACACCCAATCACCACCATAACCACTCTTGTCACACCCAATCACCACCACAGTCAGTCTATCACAACCAGTCTGTCACACCCAATCACCACCACAACCAGTCTTGTCACATCCAATCACTACCACAAAAAGCCTGTCACACCAAATCACCACCACAATCAGTCTTATCACACCGAACGCCACCAAAACCAATCTCTGTCATACCCAGTCACACCCACAACCAATCTCTGTCACACCTAATTACCACCACAAACAGTATCTGTCTTACCCATCCTCCATCACAACCAATCTCTGTTACACCTAATCTCTATCACCATCACACATACTCTTTGACACGCTCAGTCACTAGTCACTATCACAGTCAGTCTGTCACACTCGCACTTAAATCTTCGTTATCTTTTGTCCGTCATCCATCACGCTCAGTATCAGCACAAAATCGCATTCAGTCTTAACCATCACTTTCACTCTCAATCTCGGTCACATCCGGGATCATCAAGGATGGTTAATATAATGGGCCAATATTTCACGCCATCTTCATCACACCACATCCAGCAAAGCTACCTTTGATCTGACCAAGCAGAACCCCTTCCCCAAGGTTGCTCAAAAGTGAGCACCGGAGGGTGCAAGTTGAAGCGCTTCTAAACGAGGTAAGAAAACTTTACCGTACTCTTCTAAAATAATTTTTGTTTCACTTTTCTTATAGCGCACGGACACCGACGATGTTTTGAGATCTTTCTACGGCCCTAACTGTGTCTTAATACCACATGCTTATTTCAAACACATTGTTTCATCAGTCAGAGCAAATTCTGACATTTCAGCTGAGAAATACGTATTTTTTAAACAATTCATTGTGATATTATGCATTATGTAATAATCTGATATGATCGAAGCCTGTGCTGATTTTCCCTACAAAAACAACGCGATTTTTCATTTCCGTAATACATCAGAGGTTTTATAGGAGGTTGACATCCAACATACCGTCTATTTTTACAGGTATTTTACAAACAAAGACACGATTACGCCTACTAATAACATCTCAATTATTGGTATTGATTGAACCATAACTAATTGATATTGTACAATAACTTTTGTTCTGTCAGGATTGACTTGAATTACCGATACCGTTATTTTAAAATGTCGTTATTATCAAGCCCCCGGTTACAATGAAAACTATCAGTCCGGGGACAATTCACAACTGACATGTAATATCGTAATTTTAAGTATATTGACATATATAAGTGGCCCAGACAAACAGTGTCAGTTGATATCAGCTTCAATCCTGGTACATCACCATACCCAGGACCGACTTCGTCTGTGTGCGGAAGCTCTCCAAATCCCCGGTTGGTGGATGTTTCCACAAAAAGAGACGAACAAGAGTTGACGAGGCGCCAAAGCAAAAAGATTGACAAAAACAAAAACAAAAAATAGCTCACAATTTTTAACTTTTCGTCATTTCGTTACACTTTCTGAAGTATTTCGTATCGGAAAATTGAAGTATCTCCCTTATAATATTGCTTTGGCGAGATTTCAACGTTTCGCTTTGGCGACCGCCTTGTCTCAATCAAACCCGGCTTCGTCTCTGGGTGTAAATTAGTGGTGTCAACGAACACTGCTTTCAGGAAGCCAGGGCAACGTGTATAACAAAGAAATCCTACTAAGTAGACATTGTACCTCACAACGAAGCTACCTGTATACCCTATACATCACACGTGTGTCTGTACGAAAAGGAAACTAAACTTCCTGTCTACCTTAATACATCCACAGTCCAACACTCTATCAAAACGGATATTTCTTCGACGGCTATACCAGTTCTTACAAAGCCCAGTGACCAACCAACTAGGATATATAACTGACATATAGGCCATTCTGTGCAAATATAACTTGCAACAGTTTCTTCGAGATTACACAAGAAACTACAGTTTTCCGTCAAAACTCAAATAGTAAAGGGTTGTTAATAATGCAATAATGAAAACTGAGGACGCTCTCCTCAACCAAAGACTAGAACAAGATCCAGATTTTCTGCGATATAGAGACATACACAACGCATATACGACTCCATGTGTAATGTGGAAAATACCAAAAACTTCAAAAGATCTCTCAATAATCAAGTTTGCCTGTAAGATGGTCACGTGTTCCCCTAAGTGGTCAGAAGAGCAGTGTGGACTATGTAATACGCCCTATATAGATCCTATTTTATATTATGTAACTGTTTGTCGGGATACAGCGGACATTCGTGATGTATATATGACATTGATAATAGACAAATATGGTATACCATTATTTCTCTCTTTAGATAACCTCATGCACGAGGATTTCCTCAGGACAATTCTTGGAAAACCTATTCCAAGAGACATGTTAGAAAACGTTGAAGAATACCATCAATTTCTTATGGAGAGAGCTAAATTCGTAAGACGTGCAGCTCACACATTTTTATCAAAATGAAATACACAATAACAGGGACGTCTGATAATTATGTGCCATGAAAGTAAAGTGTTTACTAAGAAGATAACTGTGCGGACTCATCACGCTAAAATGACGGATCAAATGTAAAAACCCTTTTTTTTGGTCTAATTTTTCTTTTGTAAATCTCAAATATGAGGAATAAAAGATTTGATTATTTGATTGATTGTACGACATACTAATTACGGTACTTACCGCTCGTGTCAGCACTCGTACGTCAACCTGATTACCTTTCAATGTGTCTGCTTCA